AGTGGGGAGCCATTTTCTAATGTAATAAAAATAACACGATTATATATATATATATATATATAAATTTTCTGCTTACCTTCGAAAGCTTATCCTTTTTGTTTGCACCTTCATTGAGAAAACAGAAATATTTAAACCTCTATATGGTTATTCAATTGACCTTCTTGATACTGTTAGCACCCGTTGTTGGTTAGTGTAGTCAGTTCCCACATACTACTGTCAGATCAATTAGTAATATATATCCTGTAACAACAGAAGACAAGGGCCATGCAACAGATCGTCTATTTAGGAAATCAACAGATATTTATAGATTTTCATGTATATTATTATAGATTATTGTAAGCAAACAAACACAGTTTTCTGATTGGTGGTTTCTCGCTGAGGGTTAATTTTTCATCTGTTTGTGGCCGTTTATTTAAGTTCAGATTATCTATCTGCAAATTATAATCGCCTACGCAAAGTTTGCTGTGATTAGTTGTTGAATCAGTCTTTGTTCTTATTTTTCTCATGACCAATATTGGGGACGTAAACATTGACGTAAATTACTGTCTACCAATTTGGCCAGCAGCCAGCTCCCACCACCATTCTACTCAATATATAGTGAAAGCAAAGATGGGAATTTTACTTCTCAGAAGTGTGAAGCTAGCATAACTAACGAACTACAAACCTCAAAGAGTGAGGTGTCTATGCAAATATCACCATTGAAATCTCTCTTGAATCAGTAAGCAAATAAAGGGTACCATAATCGAAAGAATGAAAAATGTGTGCAGTTGGAAGGAAATCTGGCCCGCTTCAGGTAAAAACCAATGTTGAAGAGTAGATGCTATAATGAAATATGCTGAAAAGTATACGATTTTAACAAAAACGAGTTGCTGAAAATGCATTTGTAGTGATATTGCCTAGAATATATTTGTTTCTACTTATTAATAATAAGTAGTGTATCTAAATGAGTTATCATGAATTAAAATTTCACTAACAAAATAATTTTTGCATTTGCTTATGAGTGAAAACCGAAGTGATATTACTGACTTTTCTCTATTTAGTTCTATTAACTATATCAAACTAGCTGTAGCCAAGAATTTATAGAACCTCAGCTTGTATACATTTTTATTTTGTATTGATTAAAGATACCCGTTGAAATTTCAAAACTGACTAATGAACAGAGAATATTCTTTTCGAGAGCTTCTTCATAAGGTTCTGCATTTATGTAACAGTAAAAATTCAATATTGATGTTAACAAAATTAATGTTGATTATTACTGTTACCTTGGGTCCCAAGTGGAACACAGGGCTTCCACCAGAGCACATATCCACTTCGTCCTGTTCCATGCGGTACTCTTAAGCTGGACCCACAATTACTCATACTTTGTCATCTCCGCTTTACGCAATCTCCTCCATTCCACCCCTAAACCCACGCATAACTCATCTTTTCCTAATCGGGTTACACTCGAATGATGGCCTGGCACGCGGTGTCAATCGACCGTCTTCTCAGCGTGTGTCCCATCCATCTCCATTTCCACCGACATATTTGTTGAGCAATAGGTTCTTGGTTGGTTCGTTCCCAGAGTTCTCCTCTGTTAGTTCTTTCTGGCCTGCCATCATATCTTTAGTATGGAGACAGCAATCACACCTGTTAATGAAAGTCTGGACTGGCCTGTTCGAAATGTGACGCTTTTTGTGATGCTCAAACCAACTATATGATTCATATAGAAGAACTGATTGACTTTATATTGGTGTTGACAGTCCGAATCTTGTTCTTTGTGATTCTGAGGAGTTCAGAAGATTTACTAAGTGATTTCAGTGTGTTGGCGATTTGCTGTGCCTTTACGAATATGGTTTTAACGTCCTCATCTATGAAGCATGCCTGTATTTGAAAGGATGTTTTCTAAATAAGCGAAGGAAGTTACCTCTTCAAGATTCCTACTGCTGATAGTGATTGGTTACTGTTATCTCTATTATTGTTGTTGTTGTTGGTGGTGGTGATGATGGTTGTTTGTTTTCATCACCTCCATCTTCTTCATGTTCACCTGGGGTCCTGTCTTCACTGCCTGCCCCTTCAGTCATTTTGTTGATTTCCGCGTGTAAGTCTTCGAGTTTGTGTGACATTAGACATAAATGATCGACGCGGGAGATCCAGACCTCCCAGAGTCTTCTTATCGGTGATCCAGCGTATTCCTGTATTCCTGCTGCCCACACACAGTGTTCCATGCAATCCAGTCTACCAAAATGAGAAATATCATCGGTGATAGTAAGTGGACCTGTCTTTCTCTGTATACGCTTTAGAGCCTTCACTGAGTTCTCATTTGTGTATCACCTGACACGTGGCACTGTCATATAGGTGTGGTTGGATGGGGTTGATTAAGATTTGGGGCGTTGCATGCTATAGTGTTGAAGTAGTTCTTAAATGACTTCCGGGTCAGCGCTGTCTACCTAAGGCCTTTTTGAACCCTATGAAGTTGATACAGAGATTTGACTGCCATTCTATGCACAGCCGAACACAACAGCCCAGCTCAGAGAACAAAACCACATCAAAAAGTAACGTAATCATAGTTCTTTAGGATGGGGTAACTTCTGTGTTTTATAGTTGATAAACTGATAAAGACAAAAAGCAATGTGCAGATTTTTCAATAAGATAGGTATATGAATCATAAAAACAGCCTCAGACTTCATGAGGAATGTGAGAGGGATGGGGATGCAGATCCTGTTCCGTCAAAACCTGTGATTCCTTTTCAGACTATTTCGATTCCATTTAATATGAAGCGCGTCTGATATGGATTGTTCTTTATATTTTTCGAATTTTTTCCAAACGATTTCAATATTATCAAACCTAATCTCGTGACCTGATTTGATAACGTGTTGACTTATGCCCGACGGCATTTTAAAGCTCTTCTGGTTCTACTGAATTTCTCAACGGTTAAATAGAGGCTATCTGTCGTTCATTTCTTTAGAAATCGATTTCAGTATGTACTGTATCACTTTCTAAGCATATCAGTTTATAGACGCGGTTAAACTGTGCTTCTTTTGGAATTCGGTCTTTCTTATGAACAAATTCGCTTTTAACTAAATGTAAGCTGAGATCTCTGAAATTTGCAGATTAATATTAGTTTCTAAACCCATAAACAGCACTAAATAGGGAAACGTCAGTAAAAATAATATCGCCTGGGTTCTTTGCCATTCATTGGGAAATAAAAAACAAGCTTTATTATAGTGAATATCCTTTTGATTGGACAATAGTCAGTGACCAACGTTTGGATCTAGTCCTTTGTTTGACGCAAACTGAATTATATCAGTTAAGTTTGCACTGTGGCCACCATTCTAGGTAGCTCACAATCACGGTGCATTTGGAATTGTTGATATTAAATGGTTGGAGGCAATCGGCAGGAAGCCTTGGACCTAGGTTTCGTGCTAGTTGGCACTCGTCAGCAAGACGTATCTGCAACCCTTAAGGAACTCATTTCCCCTCTAGGATTCTAGTCTGGGTCAAGTCGTGAGTGCTGCAGTCAGAGACGTTACCACTGAGCTATTTGGGCTCGCGATTGACCTCCTGTAGGACTATATTGGATACTTGATTAGACACCAATCAGTGACTAATGTCAACAGTGAATATCCTTAATAATAATAATAATCACCTTATTCCACAACAATAACAATTTACAGCATGGAATTTTCAGCGTTTATTTTGCATATTGCAATGGTTTAGCTCTGTTTATAATTATATAAATGTATAAAATGTTAAAATATTGATAGTTAATAGGAAAAATAAAAACCCCAACAAAATCACACCATTTCTAGGTCATTGTGAATAATAAATAAATAATATAACAAATAACACTTGCATTAATATGCATCATTACATTTTATAGTTTAGTTAAGGATTTAAAAGTTGTAAAAGTTCTTTTCTGATATTCGTCTCTTCACACAATACTCGTGCCAAATATGGTACGGTCGAATTTTTATATTTTGTAGTACGAGCATGATTGTTTATGAAATTTCTTCTGGTCTTACCCGAAGAGATACAAGGAAACAATTGTGAATAAAGAGGATGTTCACTATCAGACAAGATAACTTTAGCTAAATGTTTACAAGAATTTATATGCCTATTGACAACAGTGTCGGTTAGTTGAGTCAAAGGGATAGCACTGACCCCACTTATAGCCTTCAATGTTCTTCGTAGTATTATATGGTCTTTCTTGAGTAGCCAAGGGAAGAATAATGGAGAATAATGAAGAATGATGGGCAAAACACATGAATTAATAAATTGTATGAGAAGAGATTGGGTTATACCTGAGTGCCTCAACTTCTTTATGTAATAAGTCAGACAGAAAATCTTTTTAGAAACTATAAGAATATGAGACGACCAGCAAAGGTTTGAAGAGAAGTTAACGCCAAGATAAGAAACACTTGACTTACTCTCTATCATGGTACCATCAATATCACAACAATCATGAGATTGGATCAATCCATGCATGTCTTTTTCACTTCTCAAGCTGAAATCAACAGTAATACATTTAGTTGGATTTAGTTTAAGACCATTTGAGCCAGACCAATCCTTAGCTTCAGCTAAGAAGCCATTCATATGGGAACAATCCGATGTGGAAACTACAGGGACAGAAACGGTCAGATCATCAGCATACTTAATGAAGTTAACTTTGGGTGAGTTCGGAAGGTCATGCAAAAAGAAAGAGAAAAGAAATGGAGAAAGTACTGCACCTTGAGGCACACCACTTTCAGTTAGCTGAGAATTGGAGCGCTTTCCAGCGAAAACAGTATGCTGTTTCCTATCCTTAAAATAAGAAGACAGCCATCTAGTTGCTTAGGACTCTGTTTGTGCTGAAATCATCTTTCCTAATAAAAGTGTCCAAGGAACACAGTCGAAATGCGCAGATTTCTTTCAAATGAATAACTCTGAACTTTCTTTGGACATAAACACGGATAACAAAATTGACGATTACATGGAATTGGATTGAATCACTTATGTTGTATAACTTTTTTCATTTATTTCAGAGATCCTCGGGTTGAACCATTACTCGGTCCAACTATATTCAAGGCCAATCAGTTTCAGGTAATTGAGTGTTTTTCATAACTCACCTTCTGTGTGATAACAAGAATTCTCATCACGTTAATGCATTTTTACAAAGAGTTTACAACAAAATATCTTCAATATCTCGATATAAACTCATTCATGTTGTAATTCCAACAAAAAATGACATTTGTATTTTGAAGCATTTCAAATTATTGCTTAAAAAAACGTCTGAGATTGTAAAATCTACATAAAACAACGAGGAATTAAAGATTAGTGCAGGAAATGTATCGGTTGAGTCTCAGTTGAACACAATCACCCTCTGGGGATGCATACAGATTCAGATAACGAATCATGAATAGAACGAACGAAACTCACGTTTCAGATTCTGCTGAAACCCACCACTAATCAAAATTAGCAAAACATTACTGTCATTAATACAGGGACACTCTTCACAGATACTGTTTACTGTGGTCAGAATATCACACTGGTTCAAGTTCAAGCCAACCATCCATACTGATGGTTTTTCTCTAAAATTGTTATTTTTCGTTATATAGCATGAGTGTTTACCGTGGAACCATTAATATTATGAACAGGGTATCTGTTAGGAGTGTCACTATATATATATCCTATAATACAGTATAATCAAACTTGAATTGCATCTTTCCATTTCAGCTAGGAATTACTATTGTTGAGGCAAGAAAACTCGGTGGAACAAATATCAATCCAATGATCAGTGTGACCGTTGGCAAAACTGTACAAAAAACTGTGACTAAGTACTCAACAAACTGTCCATTTTATGACAATTACTTTGCATTCGACTTTACTCGACCAAAGATCAGTATACTGACTGAAGTGATACGGATTCGAGTAGGTCGTCTCTGTCTTCTTCGTCTAATTTTTTTATTTCGTGATTACTGTTTTTTCAGGTGTTAACTAGTAAATTCATTGTTTGCTTATATTGTTGTTATAATAGAGTGTTACTGGTTTGAGGGTTCGTCTAAACTTGACTAGCATGAGATCCCGGACACAATACTACAGCCAAATGACCACTTGAAAATAACCCCAATAGACGTAGATACAAAAGTCAGATTCGAATTCAACAAAACGATAACGTTTATTGGACAAAATACATTGTATATATAATTTACAAAACCTCAGAAATTTAAGCCATAAATAAATGAAGAAATCTGATTGGCTGGAAGATATCTAAAAACCTCCGGAATGTAAGCCGAAAATGAAACAATCAAAAACTCTCCAGTCGGGTTATACTGTCAAAGCACGGCTAACAAATAAGCTTATTCGTCCTAAAATACACTATCAGAATGCTTTATAATAATTTTTATACGAGAATATGACGTACTACTAGTTGATATAAGCAGTTGAGAACCTACTCGAGCCAACTAAACTCTCATCAGAAATTGGCGGGAACCAGAAAAGTACCTATAAATACGAAGAACACAACAGGTGCCTCCGTTGGTGCTAATCGGCGATGGTCATATTATTATTATTACCACTACCACTAACTGTTATCTGTGGCTGCTATAAATCGAAGACTATATTCTGGCTCACCAAATGAACATTATTCATTCCATCACTGATGATTCCCGGTTCGACTGTAAATTGAAAATTGGGTGGATATTATTGAGGTCTAATGAACTGGCTTTAGGAACACTAAGCGACACTTCATATTCAATGGGTTTACTTCACCAATTACATAGCAGTATAATATCATTTACTGCATGATATCCGAGAAATAAATTACTGATCATATTTATATCAGTGTGGGCATAGAAGTCTCGGGATTTTATGGTTGCTTTGGTGTTATTTCATGGAAATGATTCAGAGATTTGCCATTTGTTCAACCAAAGATAAGGTAGGTAATCACCCTTCGTAACTTACTACATTGGCTCTTAGAGATTTAAGTCTTCTCGATACTATCATATGTGTCTGTGCATTGATGAAGAATCCGTAACTAGGACGAAACACCTCTCCAGTGTTCTCTTCGTTGCCGATGACATCAGTTTTTGACAAAATCTTTGCCAACCATAAGTATCAGTGAGAGAACGTCTATGTAGTGTCTTTATGGGTGAGATTTTTCCTACATGTGGTTGGATGGAAATGAACGAACTGAAAACTTCTGTGGTAGCAAAAAAAGACCAGAAAATACTTCATCTGGTAACTTCTCACAGACCAAAGAAAGGCATTCACTGCATTTGAAGTTATCAAAGTAAAACCTATTATTATTGTTCAGTGATGTTGCGTCATTAGCCTTTCACTGGGAACACTTCGCAAACGCTTTTCTCAAAGTTGAAAGATACCTCGTAGTGATGTGCACTGATGAACACGCAGTCTCAAAACAGAGCTTCCTGTTGAATAAATGATGACAGTATCTGATGTCGAACTTAGTGTAATATAGAAATAGATATGGCGTTGTTTCACTTAACTGACGGTAACATTACACACCTGTAAGTAGGTGAACTTTGGTACACCTAACTCGACATCGACTTCGATTTCCATTCAGCGTCAGTTCATCCAATGGTCTATTAAAAGTAGGACTACACCGACCTTTAGATTAGAAATAGGAAGTTAAGTGCTAGAGCACGTTGACCGCTTCACTTACTTGGGAAGTACCATCAGCCCCAACGGGTTGATCTTCGACGAAATCTCAGCACGAATACAGAGGGCTAGGTTCGCATATGCCAGTTTATGCCGTCTCTGGCGTAGACGCGATATCCGACTATCAACCAAAGGGCGTATGTACTGCTCAACAGTCCGCTCCGTCCTCCTTTATGGCTGTGAGACATGGCCATTGAGAGCAGAAGACATGAAAAGATTATCTGTGTTCGATCACAGGTGTCTGCGTTCTATCTCCCGCGTGAAGTGGTATAATAGGGTGAGCAATATTGAGGTTAGGCGTCGAGTTCTAGGTAAGGAGGGGAAATCAGTCGACGAAACTGTGAAATTACTTCGACTGAGATGGTTAGGACATGTGCTACGTATGCCTAGTCATCGCCTTCCTCGACGGGCAATGTTAGCTGATATAGGGTCAGACTGGAAAAGAGCTAGTGGTGGTCAAACGAAAACATGGCACCAGTCAATGAAATCTACAACAGTTAGTTTAAGCCACGTAGGAAGGTGTAGACTTCCTGGTTGGGGTCCTCGGGACGGTAAAAACCAATGGTTGGAAACAATTGGTGACATGGCTCAAAATCGTTCTCAGTGGCGCAGATGCATCCACTCCTTGTGACTTATGATTTCCAATGAAACTGTTTTGTTCTTCGTTATTACTATTCCTTTGTCTCACACCTCTGTTTACTGTCTATATTATGCATTTCTTCTACTTTCTTCTCTTGCTTTGTGTACTACATGGAGTGTGGCGACTTGAACTGCCGCACATATGTGCAAAGTTCTATTTTGAAAACCGACCGACCAACCGAAAAGTAGTGTCGACATGTAGGTATACTAAGCTTCAATAAATAATGTTGGTTTATTGTCTTGCATTCCGTGAGAAAATTGCCTATTTCATTGACTGACTACTACTATGCGTCTATCTTATTGACAGGCATTCAACATGAGAACACATCCTTTAGCGCGTCTGTTGCCCGGTAAATTAGTCGGTGAATTCGTTACAGATGTCCAGACAGTTTACAATGAAAAAGGTATGTTTCCGCTTAGTTAAATTTACTTGTGGAAGATAAATTTCTCCTAAAATTCTTGATTTATTTTGTGGTTGTATTCTGTAAGCTGAATAGGGTTTAGGAGAAAAGTTGTGTATATCTCTCTAGAAAACATCTTCAGTGCTAACGACACTGGTTACTGGATGGTTTAATTTTTCGCAGATTCACAAAGCAGAAGAAAATCCAAACTGTGGAGGAAGCTAGTCAGTAGAGAACTGTCAGTGTTGTTTAGGATCAAGCAGTAGATTAGCACATGGTGTCATAAATTGAGATTAGGCTACCAGCTATTGGTGAGTCTTCGCTGCGACGAAATATATATGATGAACTCTGATGCTGACTACTACTGTGGTGAGAGCAAGCTGCTAGCCAATTGATAGACATTGATCTACGCTGATTGATAGAAATTAATCTAGGCTGATTCAACAACCAATCACAGCTGACCTAAACGTGGACAAATATGATTCGCAGACAAGTGGCTCGCATTTCCGAGAAATATCGAAAACGAGAAAGCAGAAGACTGCGTTTGTTTGCAAACAACGAATCAGAAGACCGCCTTCTTTCTGCGGGCAGAAGCCTATTAATGTACGTAAAATACATATAAATACCTGTTGGTTTTCGTAATAAAACTGATCTGTTGCCAGCCTTGTCTTCTGTTGTTACACTACAAGTGAAGAACCAATGGTATTGCTATCTCAGTGATTTATAAAATACTCTACAGTAGGTAAATAAAGTCGCTTAGTGAAACACTAGATGAAGTTTATTCAGTCAGCGGATAAAATATCTCAAATGACTTTCAACAAAGTTTTGAAGTATCTTATTGAAAATCACTTGTCTATTGTAGTATTTACCTGTTACTATAAAATCAGAAGACATTTTTAGTAGGCTAGTAGAATGTATTGTATTATATTTAAATTCATCAGTTAGTAGTAACCAGTATCCTATATCTAATCCTAAGTGTTGGTCCTAACTAAATCCTACCTCTGGTTAGTCCTCCCAGTGACAAGTCAATATAACCATCATAGTCCTACTGCAGGTCGGTGGATGGCTTGAACAGTCGAGTGATATTGTCTTTATGGGAGAAAGAAGAGGTTAAAGGCAGAGAAGCTGATACAGGAGGGAAGGATGATAAAGCAGAGGATAGACCAGCGCAGAGATGGACACCAAAATTAGAATCTTATAGGCACTATGTTCCACTGGGGAACGTGAGGGAAAAAAATAGGCACTTGTAAAGCCATGTAAAAGAGACTGAAGAAAACAGAGTGAATTTGCGATGTGCTGCTGATGGCCTTTGTTACATTCGAAATTCAAAGTTATGCTAATAATGCCATTGGCATCACCACTGGATTATTCGCGGTCAAATCTTCTTGAGGACGTCAATTCCATCAATAGTGCAAATACGTCTTGCTGATGACTTTCAACGAGGTTGAGACCTGAGATCTGAATTCCCTAGCCCATTGTCAACAAACATCTAACCATATATTAAATAGTACTGTTAGCACACATAAAAAATCAGTTAGTGAAGCAATAAATTTTGTGTTGACTGAACATCAGAAATCTTCTAAATCGACTTGGTCTTCTCTGTATGTTGCTGGAGTGTTTTAATCTAGAATGTTATAGCTGTTCCAGTGGTTCTTTCACAAAGGAGGGTTCAGGAATCGAATTCGTACATATTCAATAAATTGATTAACTTAGCTTACTAGTACTTGGAGTTGTGTGTATGTGTATAACATCATGTTCAACTTAAAGTCACAGCTAACGACAAGTTGCACGAAACATTTTCTCTTCCGATGTCTATTTTTAGTTCCATTGGATAAGATGAAAGTGACCGAAATATATTAAAAACTTTCTCTTTATCCTTTTTTCGTGTTTTACCATTTTAAACAGCCTTTTATTGATTTCTGTTTCTACCTTAAAATACAGATCATTCTATATTGAATAAATGGGCAGTGCTTATTGATCCCAAAGATCCTTGGAAAGGTCCAACTGGTTATGTTAAAGTTGATATGCACGTGACAGAAGAGGGACAACAAGTGAAGGTAATCAACCGTTTTTCTAACAAAAAACAACAACATCATGATGATAGAATTAAAGAGACTCGTAAATTTGATTTCAAACTACTTAAAGTCTCTCAACCCTAAATATTAGACTAGAATCAATTGAAAGAAATCAATATGCATACACATGTGTCTCCTTTATCTCTGATTAGTCGCCCTAAATAAAACAGATATGTTATAGTTCCAGTCTATGGGTTGTATTTGTAGGAATCGTACAGACAATCAGCATAAGTAATTCTAGAGTATTGTTCGGCAAAGCGGTTCACATTTCTACAGAGAAATGGTCGAAAGTCTAAATTCTCTAACTAAAATCCCCATGTCAGTATTGCTTTTATTCTGTCCATATACCAGTTAGTAGGCATATAGACATACGTGGTTGTGAATTAGCAACGGAGATCTAATAAAATGAATATTCGATTATTATCATTCCCCCAAGGAAGTTCGAATCAGTCCACTGAACGAAACTTTGGAATTATTTCTTTCAGTATCACAAAGATTTCTACAAATAAAAACTTTCCTTGGGCGTCTAATTCTCGCGGAACAGTTAGCCCACATCTCGAACAGAGTCTATATAAATTTAGTTGCATCTAAGTCCAGTTGGATACCTCCAGTGCCATACTGTGAGATGGATGCCTCTTTCTTGACTAAGTCTCTTCTGCACTAACGTCACTGTTGGATCGCCAATTTAAAAGTAAAAGGTATCATGAGCACTTACTATTCAGTGTGAAGTCATTAGATAACCTTCAGCATAATTCACTGATATATACAAGCTGGTCATCAAAATGTAATCACTTTAAATGATTAACTCTGTGTATTGATTGGAACTTATTGGTTTACTAGGTATTTTGACCACTAAAGTATGCACAGTTTAACGCTTTTTTAAACTGTTATCCTCGTCAAGATTTTCAATATAAGTTCTTAATACAACCTAGCGAACACGAGATAAGTCCAGATGAATCAGAACTGGAAGCTACCTAATTCTTAGCATATATATATATATATATACTTGATAGAGTACTATGATCACTTGAAAGTCGCTCCATACTTAGACATCCTGTCAACTAGTAGTATTCAGTCAGCAGTGAGCCACTGTTGTCTACAATGACACTTAATTTCCACCCAGTGAATGAAGTAACGGTTGCTGTAATTTTAGAATAATACAGAATGGTTCACAAATCAAATTATCCACTGGACAGATAATAATAATAATGATTTACTTTATTCCAAAAACAGTACTTGTGATATAGAATGGAATTTTCAGCATTAATCACAATATTGCATCTAATTTCCTCAAATTATAAATAAAATTAATCACACAGAAAATTTTTCTACATTTACAATAGGGTTAATATAAAAAATAAAAAAAACATGCAGCATATAAAGTGGAAATAATAATAATGATAGCATCTAAGGTAATGATAGTAATACAAGAGGAAATTGCCGTGGGCTTGTTTCACACAGTATTGTTGATGCGGTATACAAATCCTTGCATGATTAAAAATATTGAATATGATGTTCTCTTTACATGATATGGTGAGGGAAAAAACAAAGATTACAGCAGTCTTAGAGATAAGTTGGTGTTTGCAGTTATGAAAGTAAAAACAAAGAAGCAACAGGACCATAAATATAATAGAAATAATAAAAGTAAAACTTGAAGGTATATAAGGATGGATGGAGGAGATTGTTTATTTACTAGATGAAAAAAGGTTAGTCAATTCTTGCTTGACACTATTTTTATCACATAAAATACGTGCTAAGTATACTTACTTACTTTACTTTACTTCGGCTATCTCCTACGGGAGGATGAGCCGGCTTCATAAACATCTCGAATCATCGCTGCCCAGGAGCGGCGATCTGATGCAACGTTTTGCGACAGGGTTATCCAATTAAGAGAGTTCATGAAGTTTCATGGGAATTTGGTACGAGTGATGTCCCCAGAATCGCTCGGCCTTTTGTTTGAGAGTGCAGCTCTAGCCTTTACACAACCAAGTGTGACCTACAAGGCAGTAGGAGTGGAGTAGGGAGTCCACTATCCATTGGGAGCCGGTGACCGGAGTTCGGTTCATACGCCTTTTTGAATGGGGCCAGACATCCAGGACATCCAACAAGCCTTTTGTCCATACGTCTGCCGGTGAGCTCCAGTGAGCTTCATACGCCAGTCATTGGAGGTTTGGAATCAGGGTTTAGCCATCTCCCCTAGACTGTCATCCGATGGACAGTCAACCCGGTGAAGAGCGCCGGGCATCCGCTTTCAACCTCTCACTTTGGTGAAAAACACCTCCGCCACGTGATGCCAAGTATGGTATCATGGAATTTTTACACTTAGACGTGCGAGCATATAGTTTAAACAATAAACTGTAGGGAATTTTTTCTTCACTAAATTATTCAGTTATTCATTTCAAAGCTTAAAATTAATTGGAACGTTTGTCTCCTTTTTTAAAAAAAACGAGAGCGCCACTTCAATTTATTCGGATTAAATTTTCAGTAGGAATAATTTCTACTTTAACTTGAACATCTCGAGTTTAGCCTATTCATACTTTTGGTGTCGTTTTGAAGATTTGAACCATTTCAAGATAAACTGAAAATACTTTCCATAAGATTAGAAAGAAACTAATGTCGAGAAATGCAAAGTCTCAAGGTTCACTACCAGTTGGAAAGTCAATGAACACCTAGGGGTACTAAAAAGATTGTCTCCTAACAGTTCTGAATACTTGAAAATGTGGTCATGGACTCATGGGCATGTCAGTGCTTTGCAAATGTGTCAGTAGAAATCACATATTACATTATGTCTTTTATTTTTATTTCTTGACGTTCCCAGTGGAACATAGGGCTTCTGTAGCAGTGTTTATTTTTACAGGATGGGGTTGCTAGCCTCATGCCCAACCTTTCCTCTTCCCCAGCTTTTATTACTTGCTTAGCGGGGTAAAGGAGTGCGCCGGCTGGGGATCGAACCCCGGACCATGTGCATGGTCGGCGAGCGTCCTAACCACTATGCCACCGACGCACTTACATTATGTGTTTAGCCTTTATTTACTTCTTTTACAAAGTCAGTATCAGTTAGGTTATGTCATCAGTTAGTTACTGTATTCATTACGAATTGTTATACCACACTGCTTACAACCCCTTTATTCTTCACTGAGTAATAACCAACTCGAAGTGATGAATTATTAAAAGACATAGATTATAAAGATACTGAAAGCACCAGAAGTGTGCTTCACTGAGTGAGTAGTCTCCAACTACTAGTGATATATACCATCTGGTCTAGAAAGATTCATTGTTTAGGGAATCAGGTAGCACTGGAGGACCAGTGGATTATATCCTAACTGGTTAAATTATGCATTTGTGTATATAATATATATAATGATGTGTTCAATAGTTCAATGGTTATGTTAATCCTCTGATACATTTAAACAAAATTTATCTTCTTTATCAATAATTCCTTTTTAAGAGAATTCGAAGAGAGAAACCTGATCAAGATGAAATAATTGAACAGTAAGTATTTCACAGTACTAATTTCTTCATTATTTCTTTGTGAGGGAAACACTTGCTACAGTGAATATTATCATTATTAGTAGTAAAAATAATAATAAATAAATAAATAAATAAAAACAAAGGGTTAAAACAAACATTTATTAATAGATTCCAGAGATTTTTACTGATCTCAATTTAGATAACAAAACTGCATCACTTAGCAAACTACTGAGAATAATGGAGTGTTGGATAGCTGTTTCATCCCAATTTGCTGCTCTTCAGTAGTCCACACTTATGGCTTCAACAGAGGTCGGACCTGTGACCTTCAAGTCACGACAGCAACCTATTAATTATTTGGCACTGGAAGGAAGTCCAGTGGCTCACGAAGTCTAACTATTGTCAAGTATATCTATAGCCAGACAATTTCATCTGTGAGTATATGTCATCACACCTAATCTGGTAGACTTCATCGATCATGACTTCTCCAGGAACTCCATCCCACAGTTAGTCACTAGTGATTATTCAAATTTGCTTTGTAGGGATTTGATTGATTTCAAGTTAAACCCAAACTGATGTCACCTAGCGAATTGCTGAATACCAGAGAGTACTAGCGAGCTGTTTCGCCTTAGCTTCTGCCTCTTCCTCAGCAGAGACTGAACAGAGAATCTTCAGGTCACAAGAAGAGTATTTTGATCATTCGGCGACTGTAGGAGTCTGCTAGGTGATATCATATGGTTGGTAATATTGAAGTTAGGCAGAGAATGTTTGTTAATTAGGGAAAGCAATTCTATGTGATGTTGTAAAGCTGTGTCAACTGAGATGGATAGAACATGCTTAGCGCATGATAGCCCATCACTTTCATCGTCGACCGAAATTCCCTGATGCACGACCGGAAAAAAGGTAATGATGGTCAAATCCAGACATAGACACGATCTATGAAATCATTTACCGCTGGATTGAGCCATATACGGAGGTGTATAGTGTCTCTCTTTGGTTATCGAATTACCGAAATCTAAAGGCTGGAGACTGCTGTTAACATAGCTCAAAATCGTTATGAGTGGCACAGATTTATTCACTCTCTTTGCAATCTTCTAGATCTTCTAGATTTTCGTTATTTACCACTTAACTGTTCTTTCTTATTATGAACAGTCCTCAACCTCAATTTTATAGGTGGTGACTGAAAGTGAAGTGGAAAGCTGAGTCAAGCTGACCAACTAATCTGGAGCTTAAATAAGGAATTTCCACTGACCAAGTACTAATCAGGGTTGTTTTAATTATCTCACACAAAACCACCAGTAATTATCTAATTTAGATTTATTGGCATTTCTCCCTTTTTTTCCTTTCACACTTCCAGCCATTTACTTCTCCCACGTCATATTGGAATGCCACAGAAGAGAATAATGCTGTCAATGAAAGTCAGTATTTATCAAGCTGAAGACTTACCACCAATGAATACGGAGATAAGCGATAGAATAAGAAAGGCGTTTGTTGGAGAAAATACGCCCAATGTTGACTCTTATGTAGAGGTTTCTTATGCTGGGCATACAGTAAGTTGTCTTCTTTATTGTGTATATTCATCAGATTCAGTGTTGTTTGCTTACATCTGAACTATGATTACTATTATAACTTCTTCGCAGACAGCTTAATCACACATCCTAGTAACCATGATTTAATTATTTTAGAACCTGTTTCATGACTAATTGACTGAGTGAAGTTTTGTCTTATTGGTCAGTATAGATGAACTGATTCTGCGCTTGTTATTCGACATTATCGTAAAACATTAATGTCGTTATATGTATACTAATCAACTTTTTGGTTTTAAATGGGAATTTCGCTAAAATTTAAAAGCATTACATATAATTTCAGAAAAGACACTACTTTTGGCACCATCAGCATCAAATATTATCCAATTTAAATTTTGCGAACCTACACCGATAAATCAAAACTCTAAAGACCATCATCTCAAATGTCTGTGCATTCATTAGGTGTTGTTCTGTCCAGGCATAAAGACCACTTCTTGAGTAAATAAGAATCTTTCACTTCCCACAAATTCACCTGTGGAGCTAGTTATATAGGATGCACAAGACAGAGACAGAGAGCATTTTCCAAATGCATATCTGAACACTATTCAACATGGCTATATAAAAGTCTAATACAAGTCGATTACCAGCTGAAATAGCGTAATCCTAGTTCTCAACTCAATCCTGAACTGTATCAGCCAAAAACGTTTGTTCAGTCTCCTAATTTACTATAGCTTTAAACTCCTTCCTACATGTTGGATACTGCTTTTACGGAGTTATTCAATATTATCCCTCTTAAATACTCCTTTCTTGTATTTTAATAGTTATTGATTTTCTTCACCTCCACGATTTACCACTTTCTTCTAACTTCAGCATCCCTACTTTCATTGTTGTATTTGCCAATGTATAGTTTTAGTTTTCTACTTTTAGAAGCACGTTCTAGATCGTTGTATGAATTGTGTTACTTTCTCTCCGTCCCACTATTCAAAAATAGCTTGTCATGAGTTTCATTTAGTATAAATTGATGCTTACTTCATCAATGAATAAACACTTATTCGGAAAACATGGGAGTACTCGACATTAAACTATTTCGTTCTAGTTTGAGACTCTCCAGTAGTACGCACACACCGCCAGGGTTCGAACCCAGGACCTTGCGGTTACGAGGCAAGCTCATAGACCATTGAGCCACTGAGACCCGACCCAGTGTGCCATGAACAGTCCCATACTATGAGGTTTTCCACTGGTTCTGTAACTGATGTCAGCTCGTGATCAATCGTCTAACCAATCAAAACCTCACAAACCAACACTTGATAAAACGCTTATTTATGGAAAGGACTTTTTAGCTTTCTTCATTACTTAAGTGGCCGTCTTAGGTTGTTATAAGCTGACTGTGAGCTTTACAAAAAGTGGTAGAGTTCAAACCAATGCTGAATAACAAATAGCAAATCTCGACTTGTGAGGTATGTGTGGAGTTTACTACAGCCTACACCGTTAGAACCTTCACGAAAGTCTGTCAGGAGTTGTGTTAAAATGAGGTAGGATTCAAAAGAAAAAGTAATTAACTATCAGGTACTACTGGTTAATGTAAGAGGCATCCGCCTACTTATTTCAGTCAACCCGTACTTACTTTCTTGACTGCTATTTAAGATGACAAGTAGGTGTTAGGATGAACAGGCCTCTATGTTAGCCGTAAAATCATGACTTCACGGTTAACACTTTGTAATATCGATATTTTCGGTTTGCAAAGGAAACTCTGATGAGATTTCACTTCCTCGAATTCTGTAAATTGCAAATCATGAATCAGTTTGCAAATTACGAGTTAGCTCAAGTAACTAGTCAGAGTTTGGGTGGCTTGAGCTGATTTGTCCCTCAGAGCTGAGTCGAACCTTGCATACTGTTGATGAACACAGCCACTGGCGGGCGAAACGGCTGCCTGGTGTTAAGGTCAGTTTGATCTAGGTTCATGTGAATTGCATTCACAGTTACCGCAACTACCACTAATCAGAATCAATATTATCATTTCAACCATAAGGCAACATCCACACATCTATAGAAGCAGAAGCTGATATGTCACCGGAACCCAAGATGTTTTAATCCAGTGTGACCAATCAATAGGAAGTTCGAGATCAATATTAATAATACTGTCAACATATAACACTTTGAACCTTTTCTATGAAGAATATTTTTTTCTAAACAAGAATGCAAAAATAAACCAAATATTTTTGTATATAACTATTTAATGAATTTAGTTATTTTGGTCACACTAATCATATGTTGATAAATAATTTCACTGTTTTTCTGCCTGAAATGGGTTTTTTGGTGTGGAAGGGGCGGGGGCTAGTAGAACACACATCTCCATATTTTTAATTTCTTAAATAAATCTCAGAATGTTACTACACAAGAAGATAAAAGCGACAGACTAGAAAATATTTGAAGCTGAGATAAAAGAAGACGAATTGATCAGAGGATAGATTTCGATATGAATTCTATGTATTTAGAACACACACACACACATATATACAAGCACACACACACACCAGCGTATGTGCACACAAAAACGCAGCCAAGCAGAAGCGAACAAACACTTAGTTTTGGGTGTCTTTTACTTGTTGTTTCAACTTTTCAACTAATTCATAAGACGGTGGTAAATCATGGAAGTCTGTTGTTGGCATTCTTGTCGCCTGATCTGTTTGTTTCATCTGATTTACTACACCTCTTCCATTCTCTTCAGTATGATTTGGTCGATGCGGTTGGACAGATGTTGACAGTGACTGTTGCTGTGGGTAATTACTACTGCTACTGCTGCTGCAATTACCATTACCACCATTCAATGGATTTGTTACACACGGTGTTTCTTCATTGATTAGATGACTAGAGGAATTTGTTGTCGACTGTACATTACGTCTTTGTCTGTTTAGCATTCCTGGGTGTCTGACTGTTTCATCGCCTGTTCCGTGTGGATGATTTGCAAGTGAAGGATATAACCAATTTCTGAAAATATCTAGTGGAATAATATTAATAATAAATAACAAAGTGAAAAGTGGATAAATGGAATGAATATTGATTTTTTTTATTCCTTCACGTTCCCAGTGGAACGTAGGGCTTCAAGCTAGAGGCTTGAAGTTTCTGTAGCAGTGTTTATTTTTACAGGATGGGGTTGCTAGCCTCATACCCAACCTTTCCTCCTTACCAGCTTTCATGACTGGTTTGGTGAGGTAGAGGAGTGCGTCGGCCGGGGATCGAACCGCGGACCATGTGCATGGTTGGCGAGTGTCCTAACTGCTGTGCCACCGACGCGCCATGAATATTGATAAATAACTGAAATAAGAGATTATCTTTCATTGATGAATAATCTTCAGTTGTCCTATTGTTAAGTAAATCTAGTCTTAACTACTTAATGTCTGGATATTCTTCTGAACTGTCATGATGCTATTCATCCATACATATAAAGTAGATACCAGACACGCAATAGCAATTATTCGAAGTGAACATACAGAAGACAGAGGTAATGAAGGCACCCAACCCGACCAACGACAAAAAATAAGCGCTAATCAATACCAACAATAGAAATTCAAAGTAGATCACTTCCTTGATTTATCTAAGCAGTATCGTTTCAAAAACAGACACTATGCAGGGATGAATATGTCACATTCCGAAATCGGTGTGGAAATCTTCTCAACTCAGCATAAAGAAACAAAATTTGGATTTTTACCAGTAATAACAAGTCACTGTTTCTGAATGGTTCAAGCATTTATTATTACAGGCTTTAGTTTTCTGTCAACAGCTGCCCTTGCTGGCTCGATACTGGACATCACATGACCAGTTAGGGAGGACTAGCAACAAGGAACTCTGGAAACCAACCAACCAAGAACTTACTGCCCAACAAATATGAAGAAGCAAATAGAGGTGGATTGGTCACACTGTGAAGAAACTGTTGAGTGACATCGAGCACCAGGCCGTGGAGTGGAAGACAAATGGGAGACGACGAGTTGAGCGTGGGTCTGAGAGTGACATGGAAGAGATGATTGTCAATTGGCGATCGGGGAGCCATCTAAACAGGACTTCAGAGTACAGACTGAAATAAGATGTGCAGCTGAAACCCTGTGTTTTACTGGGAACCTGATGGGAATAATAATAATATTCGCGACTGCATCTTTTATTAGTACACAGACAAATTGGAAAGCTGCACGGTACATTGTCAGAAACTTGGCGTGGTACGAAAACGATTTCCAACAGGTTGTGGCCTTGCATCAATAGCTGCCTTCACTCCATACTGAAGATCAAATGGCCAGAAAGAATAAACAACAAGAAACTGTGGGAACAAACCAACCATGAGTCGATCGCTCAAAAAGCATGTAAGAGAAAGTGGAGATGGATCGGGCATACATTGATGAAACCGTCGAATGATATCGCGCCCAATGCAGGCCATCGCTCGAGTGGAATCCAAATGGGAAGCAGCTGGTGGATCGTCGGTGCAGGGGTGACATGGAGGAGATCGTGTGAGGTTGGAGATCAGAGAGTTTGGTCAATCGTGGACCCAGCTGAAGAAGACGGCAGAAAACAGAACAAAGTGGAGATGTGTTGTTGAAGCCCTATGTTCCACTCGGAAGGCAAAGGAATAATGATAATAATACGGTACACTGGAAATGTATTGAATAGTCATAAGGAAGTATTTAAGGTGATGTGTCCTGTCTTTGCTGCTGACTGAATTCTATCAATCCTTCGTGTCGACTGCCTTCAAACATCTGTCAATAGTGGAAATGTATTTTAGATGCAGAACAGGATTATTATTCACATATAAGAATTGCTAATAAATATCAGTTAAAATATTCCTTTGAAGTCAGGCTAAAATGTTTTACCAATGGCATTTTCACGTGTGCTGACTAGGAGTGGGTTTCAGCACTCAGCTTCCGTCTTGGTTTAGTTAACTAAGCTGAAGGAAACTTCAAAACACATAACACTTCTTAGAAAATGAAAAGTCAGTGTGTTTCAAAGACTCGATGCTTGTATCACCAAATGCATTTCCATCAAGCTGCGGACTTCCATCAACACGTGTGCCCATCAAAACAGCAAACAGCCTACTGCTCAAAAATACACAGAAGAAAGTGGAGATATGATGGTCATATTATGGGAAGTTACTCAGATGAAATCAAACGCCAGAGGAGGCCCCAAGTGAAACCCAAATATGAACCGATGACTTCAGAAGTCGGAGGGTAACATTTCAGAAGATTGTGTGCGGAGGAAACGAAAGCTTGTGAGCAGTCACAAAGCTAGTTAAAAGTGACAGGAGAGAACCGAGTGAAATGAAGGCGTATCGTTGAAATCCTATTTTCCACTCGGAACCCAAAGAACCAGTAATTATAGTAAAAGCCAAAAGACAAAAAAGGCTCTCATAGCTCAGTGGTTCAGTGGAAATAGCAAATGTTGAGTTTGAGGCCACCATCCCTCATTAAGATACAGGCACATCTAAGTAATGAGTCGAAAATAGTACAAAACATGCGCCATAAATTCAACTGTTAGGAAATATCAATCAAATATGTTCGACTATTCATTTAATAATATTACTTGTTATTCCTTTGGATTCCCAGTGGAGCATAGAGCTTCAACATCACAACTCCATTTCACTCTGTTCAATGCATCCTTTTTTTAGCTCCCACCAGGATTACCCATCAGTTTTCACTTCTTCCTCACACAATTTCCTCCATCTCACCCTCGGACTCCCAACGGGTGATGATAAACGTTATCGTGATATATTATCGCGCACTGTATGGGTTATCGTGCTCACGCCTATAGAGGCGTTATAAACGTTTATTTTTGTGAAAAAAGGTTATATATGGCTGGTTTCAGGCTTCTATAGCCGAAAAAGCAACATTTTCCTGTATTGTGTTCGTATTAATGGATAAAACTGTCATGATATCCCAGAGGATGTATTACTTCAAGAACTCATCATATATAAGAAATTTAGCATAGAAAGACTATTATTTGCGTTTTAGAGCCGCCACTGTTCTAGCCAATCAAAGCCGAGAAAACCCTTAAGCGCGGAAGATTTAACACGTTATAACGTATATCATCACCCCTCCCAACTCCTAATTTCCCGTTTGGGTGCCACTCGAGGGCCATAATAGAAACTGATATGTCAGAAGAGACCGATTTAATCGAAAATAACCGGAAATTCAAAAATATTCAATAAGTCACAAAGTTCCACATGTGAACTGCATAAATAAACTAGAAGCACTTGTCATACGTATTGTGAATGACAAACACACTTACCATAAATATCTACGCTTGAACATCTAGGTGGTGGTGGTGGTGAAAAAGGTCGACTACGGTTCATTTCACCCGCTGCAGGCGTTGTTGCTTCTGTTACCCTCCTCCTTCTCAATACCGACAAAGCTGATAAAGCCCTGCTGTCCTGTTGAATATTATGAAGTCTGCGTATTTTTATTATTTCTCTTATGATAAACAATATAAGTGAAGCGACTACAACAAGGGAACAAATAATCACAGTGAATTTCATTGTTGACAACCTCAGCATATGTACACTCCATAGGCCATTATCACTGCTAACTGATATACCAAGATGATTGTCATAATTGTAATGACCAAGAACATCTTGACTGCCGACTGACTGATTTCGTCGGATGACTGGATGTTTTTGTTTTGTAAAGTATTGGGAATAAAGTTTTCTAACATTGGCATTACCAAATAATAGATCATATTTATTCTGTTGCCTTTCTACAAGAGATTGATATATTTCTTTAGGTACTATAGCGAAATGTATATAATCGTGGTTATTGAATTCTATCGGATTAATTAGGTTCAATGGGTTGTACATTTCGCACAGTAAACTAGTTGTGTAATCATTCACCTGAGGTGTATTAATCAACATTGATGAATTATAATCATAATAATCTTTCCATGTTTCTAAAATAGCTTTTAAAGTTAATTGAACAGTTTTCAATTTATTGATATTATAAAATGAGTTTGATTGAATTATTGATCCGGAGATGAATTTCCATAACTTTGAATCATAATGTACACGTAAATCAATATTATCACCAGTTTGATGTGTGCTTGGCATATTACCTTTACAAGTTATATTTATTATGCTTCCTATTGGTATTATACGTATTAAAGCTAATTGTGCTGTTTGAATATCAGTGGAATCATCAATGGCATCCCTCTCTAAAGTATTCTTTCGCCTAGAAAATACACCTTCAGAAATATTATGCATTTGATACTCACTTTCCAAGATTATCAATTCATCCATTAAATCAGAAATTAATAAGGGGTTCGATATTTCACAATTGATTAATTGATTAGTTATCTTGATTAATTGATTATAACGACTGTCTAAGTATGTATGCACTTCTTCTGCATTATTATTACTATTATTGGCATCATTATCTCCAGTTATATTCATTAAAATATTTGAATATAATTGATATAATTGTAGTGATTCATTTGAATTTAATTTAAATTCAATAGGTGCGCTAGCAGACTGTTTAAATTTTAAACGAAAATTGACTAGTAGAGAAGCAGCACCAAATGAAATATCATTTTTATGATAATTATTCACATTAAAATCGAACATATTCATATTAGATGACCATTGTGTGCGTAATGGTAACATATTAATTTCTACACGAAAATACTGATTCTGATGTTTAGATAACGGACGAAATGCAAATAGTACAATGTTGCCAGAATTATGTGACCAAAAATAGAAATTTGAATTTAATTCGGTATAATAAATATACGTACGCTTCCGATACAAATCATAAGTGGCTACAATTGAGTAGTCTAGGTAGACAATTAAATGGTAACGAATATCGAATGCTGGCCTCTTCTTATCCTTTACGGAACATGATGATCGAGTTAAGTAGACTCGTCTATGTGGTTCCAGTGTGGCATGTTGTTGTTCTTCATTTGCTCCGAACTAAAATAATGTTTAAATATATAAAAACAAGGTTTTTGTTCGAAAAAATATATTCCATATAAAGAGGTCTTGGAGAAACTGATAGAAGGTATTTTCATATTATGAATGGCAGTCAATGTAATAACTGTTGAAAGACTGGAAAATCTAGACGGTTTTCTGGTTTGCTTTTTATTCTACAACACAGCACTACGCCACATTTACTACTCGATGGCTAAGATGCTGTATTTCAGTTCTTTGTTAGTTTTTAGGTAACTCTGTTTACTTCGTGATACTTGAGTTTCACTGCATTGTAGACCATCTTAGGACCTAGTATCGACATGGAGGAGGTCAATTTTTCTCACTTGGTATATCAATTAAATGTATGTTAAATCGCATCGTTTCACCGTAGTTCTGGGTCCTGTGCTGGGAATGTCTTTTTTAAATAATTTATTGTCCATGCGTTTGTCTGTGCCAATACCCTACCATGGGAGTAATAAGCACAAATTCAAATCTGGGTTCACAAACTACTTAGACACTATAGAGTACGGGGTTGCAAGCGTTTATAAGCCCCATTCAATAGCTGTGTAGCGATATTATATGCCAAGTAATTCACAACGGAAAGCTTAGCAAAGCCGATAATATTCCTGATTACAAGGGTAGACCTTTGGGAGTGGGAAGACAGGAATACGTTAGATTGGTCTGGATTTCGCAGATGATTTGTGTCTGATGTCACTGAAACTCGAATATCTACAGGAGGAAACAAACAAGTTGACAAACGAGTCAGTGAAGGCATGATTTCTGGTGAATATGGAGAAGGCAAGGTTGACGAAGATACCACATTGTCAACAATAAGCACCAGTCCCTAACAATGGAGAAATCTAAAGAAAGTCTTCTCTTTCACTTACCTTGCCAGAATTACTTCAACTGTAAAGATCACAGATGAGTATGTCGAAGTTGCGAGCTAATCAGGAGACCAAGACAGGTCTTCACTACTTTGAAATCAGTGGGGAGATCCGCAGCAGTCAGCACAAGGCACAGGACCCGAATTTTCAAATCATTGCTTTTATATGATTCAAAGACTTGATACACCCGTCATCAAGAGCATTTTGAACAAACTGCCTACGCCTCATTCAAAAGACTAGACGGCCGGGAAGCATAAGCGAAAAGGAACTTCATCAACACACCAAACAAGAACCTACTGCTCAATAAATATTCCTAAAGAAATGGAGATGAATGGAACATACGCTGAGGAGAAAACACTCAGGACGGGCTTTCGAGGGCAAGCCAAATGAGAAGTAACGAGTTGCGTGTCTGAGGATGATATGAAGGAGGCCATGTGAGGAGGAAATAAAAGATTATGGACAATCTTGATGACGGATAAAAAGACGTCAGTGAACAGAGTGTTCCTTTAATCCAAGGGAATGATGATTACCATGTTTCAACTAGTAAAGTAATGTTGTATGAATATTCATTATCAAAACTTGTTACTTTCACGTATCCTAAACATTTAGAGTTAATTTCTAATAGTCGTACAGTAAATCAGGATGAAGTGAAGCGCAATTCATGAAAGAGAAAGTTATAAAGTTGGGAGAAATACTTCAGAAAGTGAAGAGTGAATCCGTTCGAATCATTTTGCCGGACAAAGTCAGACAAAGCAATATTAGAACCCTGAATGGTTATGCATCGATCTCCTTTCACAAATATCGATTTGTTTAACGTGATGAGCCTAATAATCCTCGGTACAAATAGACTAACTCATCAGCGGTGAAAGTAGCGCGTAGCTGTTTATTGTCTAAGGTTATCGAAAAATATTACTTCTGAGTCAGTGCTTACTGATTATGGTCATGGAAGAATTTAACAAAGTCAATCTTTATAAAATACAAGGACACTAAGCCTTTTTCATGACAGTGACAAATACTCGCTTTCAGAGACCATTATTTATTTATTCATTATTTTATGCCTTTACGTTTCTCATGGAAGATTGGGCTTCAGGCTAAAGCTTTGGAGTTTTGGCAGCAGTGGTCTCATTTTTATGAGGTCGGTTTGCTAGCCGAACGCCTGAACTTACCCTCCCCCCCACTGCCAGTCTTACTACTGGCTTAGTGAGGTTTAGGATAGACATCTTGGACCAAATGCGTGGTTGACGAGCACTCTGCCAATGAACCACTCATTGACTCTGAGCTACATGAATTAATCATAGTAATGTAATCAGAACACAAGCTAACTGCCTTAATGCTTTCTTCGATTTTTTTCTGCTTCATTCATGTGTTGTTGGTGACGACTGAATCTTATTAGTGGAGTTACAATGTGGACACTAATTTAAAAGACCATTAGTCCCAGTATACTTTGAATTCATATTAAGTGGTTGGAAGCAGTCGGCGGAAAACCCTCGACCTCGAGGGTTTTGGCACTTGTCAGTAAGGTGTTTTGGTGCATCTTCGGTCGGACTGAAGTCCCTTCACTGCTGAAGTCAAAGGTATTAACAATGAGCACTATTAAAGCTGGAATACTTATAACGGTAGTGTAGTCTTCCTTTGATTTATTACCCCATTTATTAATGAAAAACAAAGAGAAACAGAATAATAATATCAACAACAAACTCACTGGTTTTGAACAAACACGAAAGTATATCCATTTATCATAGGCAATATTTTCTTTAAATATAGGTATCATTTCCACGGTATACTGGCTTGTTGATTTCAACTGCTGATACTGATATGTAACCGCTCGTTTATGCCGTTGAAAATGCTGTTTTCTATTCGCATATTGTTTCAAATTCCTTTTATGCACTAAATTAATATGATTTCCACTGACATTATGCTTTTTAATTTGACTCGGAGTTTTCTTATCATGTGGTAATTTTGAATAGATTCTTATCTTTGATTGATTAGGTGTTACGTTGTTCTGTAGTCTGTGGCTTTCAGTAAATTTCCAATGAATTTTATTTATTGCAATTATCAGTAGTATTAAAATTATTTTATTCATTTAGTGAATGGTTTTATTTAATTCATTAGATTTAATTATTTAATGATACTATTCATGATTGCTGTACTTGTATTACACTCACCTCCTGTTTTAATGGAATAATAACTAAGATGTGATCATGTGACTGAGATTCAAATTAATCAATAATAATTTAGCATTAAACTTATGCATGGGAGCGCGACCTTGAACAGATTAATATTAGACACTTTACAGGTTATTTTGATGAAGACGTATTTAAGAATGCAATAATTGGCGAAGGTGTTCATTGTCAGGCTGTAGTCTACTTTTTGCATCCAGTATTCCCTTAAGAAATTTAGTCAATAGGTGGAAATAATAATGATAATAATAATAATAGTGTTATTTACGATGATATATTTGTAATCATGGTCACATTATAAAATATCTAAAATAATCCTAGCGTAATTCCATTATGGGTAAATTTTTATTTTGATAGAGTCTCATAATGGAATTACACTCTACCACAGTGCCCAAGTTTTATTCTTATATCAATAATCCTAGCGTATTCAGAATATCACACGACATTATACTGAACGTTTCTGTGTTTCACCCACAGCTTCTTTGTGAGAATTACTCGGAATTTATTAATCATTAAAATATTTAGTCAAAAAGGACACAAATTAAAGTGAACGCATTCGTAGGTCACTTGTTGGTAGAAATTTGTAACCATAGTAAAATGCTGTACACAATGATCACATGTTTGTAATGACTAATGTCAAAATGTCGACTGAAATCAACTGATATGTAGCTAGACGGGCGATTATATGGCATATTTCTTTTTTTGAAGAAGTGGCCTCACCTTTATCCTGTGGATATTAGTGAGTTTCATTCAATGTGCCAGCATTATTTCATGGAAATCCATAAATAAACGTTGAACTTTTGAACTTTCTTCATCCTTTAATCCATTACACAGCTCAGATACCAGTGTATCAAACAAGATTTTCTGATAAAAGTGAAGCAAATGTAACTCATTTCAAGCGAATAATGCCACCTATAATATGTTTAATGAGAAATTTCACTTAAAAAGAGAATACGAAAAATGTAACGTCATCAGTTAGTATTACTGTACAACACTGTGTGATTTTTTAAAATAAAATCTTATCCATAATGGAGTTATGCTCTACCACAGTGCTCAAGTTTTATACTTATGAAAATGTAACTTGTCATTAAATCACCGTAGCAACGGACTACTACCCTACAATTAGCGGAGATATGCCATAAAGCCACTCTAGCTAGGCTACTCAAATACTGTTGAATAAATGCATTCAAATACTTTACTTTTTATTCCTTTACGTTCCCAGTGGAACATAGGGCATCAAGCTAGAGTCTTGAAGTTTCGGTAGCAGTGTTTATTTTTACGAGATGGGGTTGCTAGCCTCCTGCTCAACCTTCCCTCTTTACCATTCTTACTACTGGCTTAGCTAGGTAAAGGTAAATATTTTCATCATATTCAAGACAGCTGAATCGGTTGGTGGAACTGTTGACCACTAATCACAAGACTCGTATTTCACATATTCTTACCATGATCTGAGTTAAAACGGTCATCTTCATTATACCCCTGAATGTTTTTATTTCTATTTATCTATCGTTCGCACTATGTTTTGTATTGATCATATTATTATTATGATTATTGCAATTATGTCTATGTATATTTTAGGCTCGAACTAAAACAGAACGCTATAATTACAATCCAATATGGAATGAAACAATAGAATTCTGTGATTACTTTCCTTCGTTTACTAGAACAATAAGAATTAATGTTAGAAATGGTGGATTGAAAGGCGAATTGATTGCTACGCGTTTAATTGATATACGTGATATCATGTGTCATGTTGGCGGTCGTAAGTCAGCTGGAGTTTACAGTTTTTTTTTACTTATTGTACCCCATGATGGTTTCTACTTCTCTAAAGGTGAATTTTATTACCCTAATCGACCGACATCTGCGATTCGTTAGCACTATTCAGTCAGGAGTCCGCCGCGCGATCGATCCCAGGATATAACACCTCTTTTCTGTTTTGCTCATTCGCAAATTTCGCTTATGGGTTAAACTTATCGAGCTCTACTCTGTGAGTGGTGGTGTAGGGGGTAAAACTAATAAAGCTTGATAAGTCTTTTTGAAAACCTTAAATAACCATTGTTTCGGTCGTTATAAGACCGAATTTCAGTACATTCTTACTGTTACTTCAACATACAATAATATACAACTGATCACCCTAGTATTACTCACACACGCTGAGAAAGACACAGCTAAGTGACTGACAAGGCAAGTATTTATATTGCTCCTGAGAAAAGGCGAATAAGACTAGAGATTGCACTATCAATAAACTGCAGGTTTAGGATTCAAAAACAATGTTTTAACTGGCAGTCATGTACTAATAACAACCCAATAACCCAATCATCTATAATCTATGTAGAAGTCGAATGTCTGGTCTACAGATCAAGTGAGATATAATAGAGAAGGTTTGCAGCTCATGTGTAGTGGTGTTCACTGAACTGTTGATGAAGGCGTAGAATTAGCAGTGATCCTGTTCGGCCTACATTTTATTCTTCTTTGAAGCACTAACATTCACTTCATGTCTCTGAGGTGTTGTGCGGAGTCTCACACGAAGCCTGACTCTATATTCTAAGTTGTTTTGTAAAATCACTTTCTTCGCCTTTTTTTCTATAGATTTTCTCTCTGGTTGACTGCATTTTATTTTACCTTATGTTCATTATCAAATCAGGTTTTGATATTTTACTTTAAACCTTTTGGTATTAATTTTTTTTATTTGATCGCCCTTTCCTTATTTCATCTACTTGAACCCTATCTACTCCACTAATAATCCTGCTATTTAGTTTTGATCATACGCGTATACTGATTGCCCAGCAGCTGTCAGTGTGACTAACTGCCTTTTCAAGTGATATGAAAAATGAAGGCGTTGAAAAAAGGGGATACTTCTGAGGCGAATAAAGTAGAATATTGGCTAGCGAATTTTATTTTCCTCCAGTTTGCTGGCCAGTCTTAAGCTCAGAAAATGGGAAACGTTAAGTGTAGGGTTATTAATCCCAGACAGCCAAAGAAAGTATTCGCACTACCAGGACTATGAAGCCCCAAAAAAGTGGACTTATTCTTCTTTGGAGTCTACGCAACGCTTCATTTTGAGGAAACATGACTCTTGTAGGTGAAAAGCTTTGGAAATCCGGTCAACTGATGTGTCCTCTTTAGATTAAACCAAACATAAGCATGAGAATATGGGACGTCTGCACCATTTGTGAAGTCATCTACCAAGGCTGTTCAAATTACAAAAGAAATGAGAAGGTAAGGTATAGAATTTTCGAAAGTAGTTGGAATGCAACTGAACTCTTCAAATTATTGACTAGCGATTCAATAACCTACTTCTGTCGCTCAGACGACAGCTATCAACGCATTAATGGTGTGGATATCGTCATGTCACGAACAGCAATGAAGGCACTTATGCAGTGGGAAATAATCTTCCTCCGGATCAGGACAGTTTCCTTGATGAATATATAAACACTGCTATTAATGCTGTCGGCCTGAGGGCCTGTCTGAATTTCGGTTACTTTGATAATACACTATTGATGCTACAATCGTTCCCACTCTTGCGTGTTCCGGCATACAAGTTGTATTTGGTACTTAGTTTGGAAATTACTTATAATTCAATTACAAAACAGTACAGTTAATCATGTACATTTGACAGAATTAATAAGCATTTCCTATTACAAAATGAAATCGACCCAGCCAAGAGGGGCGTGATGTGCGTTCCCATTTATAACGTCTCACATCCTACATTATGGTCTAAATTTTTAGAGTTAATTTCAAAACAGAAATTGTATGCTAAAGTTTCGACAAAGTACAATTACTCGCCAGTTGGATGAAATATTTGTAAGACGATTGTGTGAGCAATTAAGTAATGTTATTGATAAAGGTCAGTCGAAGTTTTCAGTTTTATTTACCTAAGAAAAAATGGATGCAGATCCAGTGAACTAATAGAATATAAATTTGGTAGAATATAGTGATGCTCTGTGAACTTCATTTGAAGCTGTACCTGTAGCAGCCAAACTTGTTCGGTTATGGTCTGAAAGCAAGAAACGGATATCTACGTTATACTGTATGGCTGACAAAACTTTGTTGAGGCACGCACTATCACAAAAAGTCCCAAATTTAAGGAAAAACAATTATTCTCCAATATTTTAGCGGTTCTCAGCAGTACCATGAGGCAGCTATATAGACAAGATGTGTTCCTAAGTACATAACAAGTACTTAGAATCAAAGAGAATATTCCCAATGAGGTGGGATCAAAAGCTCTGTCCACAAGAATCACACACCAAGGCTTACCGCAGACAGTGCCGGGTTAGAATGACCTTTATTCGTTCAAACAAACTCATATCATTAAGCAGCACATTGTCACTGCACACACAACCACAAAGACAAATATTACAATTAGAGATTAAACAAGGACACAGGCAAATAATAAAGGTCAAAACCAACATATGAAGTGGCACTGTCGAATTAATGATACACAATCTAGGGGAAAAGCGGTTAACAATCACAAAGTTAGTTGAAGTGTCTAAATACGTATAAATATTAGAAATAGATCATCCGGAAAGGATTTTCCAAACAGTTTGTCCAATACAACACTTACCATGTCTCCAGTATCGCCTGAATTCTTATGCTTATGAGCATAAACGCGATTTATTGCATTTCTAGTTGGAGTATTTCTTTCTTAGAGACTTAAGAATTATCACGGTATAAAAACTGATCTTTGATATTTTCATTTGGAAGTAACTCTTTCTTACTTTTGTGAAAAATTGTTGAACAACTTTTAGTTGACCTATTTGTTATCTTCAACTGTCGACCATTGACATCTCCTGCTAATATTCATTTCACTTAGGCAATTTTCCATACTTTGGACCATCATGGATCAATCTTTACGGAACACCTCGCATCTACTCCTATGCTCAGATGCTTCGTCCAGAGGCTGAATTGAATCAAGGCCTTGGAGAAGGTGTTGCCTATCGTGGCCGAATATTGGTGACAATTAAATCAGCGGAAGATGAGGACGTCATTCGAATCGGTACTAGTAAATATCCTGCTAGTCCTGTTTCAGAAGTAAGTTGGACTTTATAGTTTTTGTAAAAATGATTTTAATTTTATTTAAACCATAAATGGAAACTAGGAATTACAGTGCATAACTATCATGTGAATGAGTGCCACGTAACTCTTCACTTATCATCACATTAGTTGTGCAACTATTTCTACCCCTTTTCAATCGCAATCATACTGTATAAGAAAGAGAGGAGTGGCAGGTTGTTAATGAATGACGATCTAATCTTAGATAGTCTTGGGTTGACAGACTGTTACTGATACAGTGGATGATGAATGTCCAAAGGTTAAGTAAAAGTCTGCGTCGTGGAGGGATTCAAAGAAGAATCCTTTGAATCACTAGTCTGGTGATCCACAAACTGAGCTAAAAGATGCAACTGGCAACTGGGTCGTTTCACTGAAGTCATCACTCATTGTATCAATAATTGTCTGACTCGCGATTATGAACAAGGAGAAAGCATCTAACGCTTAGCTTAAAATGAGCACGAAATTTATCAGCACAGAAACAGAAATTTAAAACATCAAAAAGCACCATACTTATTAACGGTCAAACTGAATCATTCATTGAACAGTGGTTTAAAGCATAGAACACTAAGTAGACAGTAATATGTGCTCACAGTAAGATATATTCTTAAGGTGTATCCCATACCGAGATGCTTCTACTGCCTAATAGGGCATCTCAAACTATGTCGAGGTAAGTTTTTTTTGAGGGCTTTTCGATCGATTTCATATCATGCCCTCAGATGTATATTAGCAAAAATGAGAAAATGCATGCTGTTTCGGGAAATACTGCGGGATTATTTATCAATAAATATTAGAATTTTTACTGAAATACCCGTTCTGCATTGACAGGCAGCTTTTCAGTGTGTACACTTTGATTAATCCCTGAAGTCACTTTGATATCATTTGACTGGTATTGACCAGCAGTGGGATCTGCCGCCCACTGCGATACAAATACGTCAAGCTGACAAGATTTTACTTCTAGCCACCAGCAGGCGAAAATAGTGTAGACTATAATGTCTAGAAAAGAAACTTTCAATCTGCTTAATAATTTGACGTTTAACTGCTCATTTAGAGTTTCTCTTTCATTCTGATGAAGCTTTTGACACAATCGAACTCGTTATATAGCCCCATCATAACCCAACGGCATTAGTAGGCAACTGTTCTCACGTTCAGGTTGAAGCCAACCAGTAAATACTAGTTCGTTGATATTCACATGTAACGTCTATGAGAATTTTGGCTAGTCAGTCAGAGAGCGATTAATTTCCAAGGATGGGGATCAAACTGTTTCAACTGCAGCCAGGAAACGAAAATTAGGGACTGTTAACTTCCCATCTAACTAAAAAATAATAAGTGGCCCAGTGGATAACAATCTGACGTTCACATCGATGAGTACCGTGTTTGAGTCTAAGTGCGGACGCCATCACCAGTCGAAATGTTCCAAACATGACAAAATGAACCCCTTGATTTGCACTGATAATCACTATGCACCAAATGACAGTATTCATTTGAATCTTATTTTTCTATCCCTACACATTCATCAGCATTTGGTGTAATCCAAATCACCAAACTTTCCAAAGTTAGCTAAGTTGTTTAGCACCATCAACGATAATGGACATAACCTCCTGGACAAGGCTTCGTACTTTTTGACATCATTTAGCAAAGTGAATCTGTGATGACACGGGAAACTATGCTGAAAATGCCTGAACAGCACTAAAGCTGAGAATAAGAAGGTATAAGTAACTCTCTAGTGATTAGTCGGTGCGTTGGTGGCATAGCGGTTAGGACACTTGCCGACCATGCACAAGGTCTGGGGTTCGATCCCCGAGCCAACGCACACCTCATACCAATAGTCGGCCCACAAAATTTGGGCTACCGATATCACATGCTGAAAATTCCATACTTGTATCAAAAATACTGTGTGGAGTCAAGCCATAAAAAAATAAATAAATAGTCAGTTGACCAGTTTTCCTTCTATACAGGTTTTCCATTGAATAATTTTCCGAGACATTTTCAGGGCCGCGCCCAATAACGCATTGCATCCATCTGACATCACTATTCATATATCACACATGATTTTTTGCTTGATTTGCTAAAAGCATCTGTTTTAACTGATCTGTAGTACAGTAAGCAGTATCTTTAAGGAATTGCTTGAAGTCAATTCAGTGATTTGCCTGTGAAACCTCGTAAATCCACTAAAATTAAGCTGAATGCTTCAACTAATATCTAAACTGTATTAGAAGAATCCTTCTTAAGTAACCTGACAGTGGGGTAAGGCGCTGATTAGGTCATCTAGCCTACTAATGTAACGTTCACAAACATACAGTTGACATCATCGCCGTATGCTATAAACCTTGTCAATTACTTTAGTTAGTTGTGTTTAATGACATTATGTTTGGGGCTTCAGGTGACCACCGAAAGAAACCTTCCAGGAAACGGACTTGACCGCAGAAGGTTCAGACACAGTAATATAACTAGAGATTTCTGGAGACATTCTCTGTTAGTTTTGTGGATGTTCTGTAGGTTGCGTCATTTTCGACGCGTGGATTTTCTTTGGCACGGCTTCAGGGATATCGTCTACAAGTTTTTGTTATGAGTCAAGTCGGAGGTTTAAAAATTTCTCCACTTAGCCTGTTAATAAGTACGGAATACATTCAGTTGCTCAGTGTGAAGAAATAAATATTGATAGAGCTTTCGTGAACTCTGATAAACGTATCAGTAAGTGTGATAAAGAATCGAAGTATATTTAAATAAAAAGACGAATACTGCTGGTTCGTAGCTTGAAGCTGTATACATATATAAATTATTTGAATTTTCACGTTAATTTACGAATCTACATCGGTTGGAGAACCACTGAAGACCAGCGAGTATTCAGCATCTTTTTCGTCCCAGTTCAGGACTCTTCAGTATTGCACATCAGTGGCTCCTTCGAGAATCAAACCTAAAACCTTCATGTTACAAAGTGAGCATACTGAGCATTCAGCCACCGTAAGACAATCATCGTACGTCTCTTGAAATTCTAACTTCTGCCGATTTGGGATATACAGCAGCATCATCAGCCAATTTCATTGGACCCCGTCGGTCACAACTTCGAACTGGATTTCTAGACAGCTTTTTCTTAATGTCAGTTTATAGTTCTCTAACAGATGTCAATTCGTGATCTAACTTGAAATGAATTAAATCTTTGTAAAGCAACACACCTTGAGACGTACACTTTATTTTCCTTTCACTTAGACTGCTGCTGGAAAGAAAAGTTTATATTTCCTTTTCGCGTGCTTTTCTGATGCAAGTGTAATTGAAAAAAAACTTGGCCTGAAGAACAAAGCGATTTCATATGAAATGAGTTTCGGTAAGAGGGAAATTATTGTATAAATCTATGCTAATATGAATCTAGAAAGAAAGAAGTCCAACTATTTATAACCTCAATATTATTACTGTATGTTCACAGAGTATCTAACAGTATCACTCCTGATGAATAGGTTTTGGCCTTTACACTTAGAATCGGGTTGATACATTGGTTGTTATTCAAAGGAGAATTCATACGTCAGTAATAACATGAATAGTCAATAATGTCTGAACAGTTCGAATATAGGAGCGAACAGAAGTTTGTCGATAAGCTTCACTGATAAACTCAAACCATATTTGACTCCCTGCCAGTGGAGTGATTACGTATTTTATAGAAAGTCAACAGAAGTGGACAACTGAGAAGAATCCTGATAAATATGAGTGGAATCCCGGACGAGTAAGTCGTCCGAGAGTGACATGGCGGAAATCGTGTGAGGAGGAGGTGAGGGATTAGGATCAATTGGGGACCCAGCTGAAGAGGACAGTACCGAATAGAACAACGCAGAGATGTGTTGAAGCCCTATGTTCCCCTTGGAACCCAAGGGAATAATAATAATAATAACTAGTGCGCAAAGGAAACTTAAACATTCACTGTTTGAACATTTTAAATTTTAAATTATTAGACTTTAAAAGACTGACTAATGATCTTTCCGATAAATTAGTCATCAGGTTCTATTTTTATATGACAATGATAATCAAAGAACTATTCTTATAACCAACATTAATGGTGTTTTAAAGTACATTGAATCAATAGTATTGATAGGTGATTACAGTTCAAAAGCATCAGTAAGTGCAAGAGACTAATATGCAGTGATTTAACAACACTAAACTGAATGAATGTCAGACAAAAAATCAAGGGAAATAATAGGGAATTTATGAATTTATAGGTTCGACAGGAAGTCAGGATAGCAACGGTACATGGACCTGCTTCTTTTCCACATAGAGCTCCGGTGGATTGGAGCGAATTGCAATGGCCTCTACTGTTTTGCAGTGTTCGGTATCTAGAGTCAACCGACTGTGTGGCAAATGTACATTGCAGCTCACCAGCATTAAGCGTTCCAAGATGAATTACCTAGGCTAGCCACCTTTAATTCAATCTATTAGTTGAACTGGCCCTGTGGAGCAGTTCAAAAAATAGTTAACCTTCAGGTTTGCTTTTTAATTCCTCACATTGTTTTGCTGATTATTTGTTCATTTATTTAGGACTATACGGTAATATGTTAGATGGGAAACGAGGTGGAGTAGAACCACAAACAATCGAAGTTATACAACCCAGTAAGTTGGTGAATTTTAATAATGCCATACATAAATGTTTGTTCAAATGTAAACCCCTTTGGAATAAAATTTTCAAAGTTCCAAGGAATTTTTATTTAAAACCGAGCCCAATGCATCATCAACTTAGTAAAACGAAACTTAATACGAATTAAACAAATTATATATTTGAAGTGAATTTCCCAGTAACAACTATTCTTATATAACAGAGAAGATTTGTAGCCTAAGGTGGGGGGGGAGTGATTTTGGTGTAGTTGTGTTGTCTGAGGTGGTTGGTCTAGTTGCAAAGCTTTCATTGTTTTTATCAGGCAACATTCAAAGCGCATACTTCAATTTGAAGTGATGTTGCCTAGTAAGGCAATGAAAGCTTTATGGCTAAACCATCCAGCTCAGAGCATACAACTATACCAAAAACTATTCTTATCTTATGCTTTAAGGTGTTTTGAAGTGAAAAATAGATTAGTATTGCCAGATTTAATGTACATTCGGATAAGTTAAAGTGAGCATTTTAACTTAGATTTCAGCACGAGTTAGGAAACCGGTATAAATCAAGGATCGCTTGACAGCTGTTTCATGCTAGTTTGGGACTACTCATAGGTACGCACTCATTACCTTATCAGGGAGTGAACTCAGGACAATCAGGTTACTAGGCCAGACAATTAATCATTTTAGCTACAGGATCTGAATTCAGTTGCCCATACACTCTGAATTCTAATCTGGTGGGGGTTATGGGTGTCCGCTGCTAATGAGATCCAAACTACGACGAAACAGCCGCCAAGCTCTGTTTGGTTTTCAGTGATTCTCCAACTGATATTGGTCGCCGACAAACACTACACTGAAATTAATCCACATCCACACAGAATCCAAAATTTTAAAATTCTATTTGATGTGAAACTTTTTAAAAACATTTTTCACTTTCAATTTCACAGATGACAATAGAGAACGCGTTGACTGGTGTCATACAATCACACCGCCACTCATTCCATTAACAGATGACAAGGAATATTATTATTTAAATTTTGGCAAAAAGAAACCGTGTTTATATTTGACAGCGTATTTTGAAGATCATCGTACTAGAATGTGTATACCAAATATTTTAGAAAAGTTATGTGAAGAATTTGTAAGTAACTGTGACATTAACATTTATCATTGTGAAAATATGTAGTATTCAATTCGCGCTTACATATTTTTTTTAGTTCCTACAGTTCATACCGATGAATACAGAGGGAGACAGGGAGGAGGTCTGACCCTGACTAGCCAAGTAACTGAAGCACATAGGTGGCCTGTCTTTAAAGTTCATCTTTTCCTAAAATACAAAAATCACTACAATAGGGGAAAATGAAATAGACGCGAAACATTTGCCTTTCGAACAATACAGTCATTGAACCTGAGAGACTCTTTATTGCAGCGTACCCTACGAATTTCTGTTAGATGGTTGGAGGTAATCGGTTGCAAGCTATGGATCTGGGTTTCATGTTTGGTCGGCAAGACCCAATGATGCGTATCTGCAGCCTTGAAGGAACCGATGTCTCCTGTGATATACCAGTTCGCATCAGCTAGTGTTGCGGTCAGAGACATTACTACCGACACAATATTATAATGAAAGTACGATTGATGATTGTTGCATAAACAGTGATAATCAATAAAATTAGGATAAGACACATAGTTAATATATATACTTGTATAATAGATTAGAAAATGGCTAGGAAAACTAATATAGCCTATTGATTTATGTATGTGTTAAATGTGCGTCTGTTTCAATGTGCACAAGTCAGTATAATATTGGTCGTCCTCGAGTGACATTGAGAAAATCATACAGTCGTGTGAAACCAGCTGAAATCAATAATAGAGAAGTGAGTGCAATCTGGATGTGCCATTGAAGGTTAATATTCCACATGTAACTCAATAATGATAAGAATAACAGTAACGTAATAATAACTCACCTGCAAATAACGGATAAAATATTATTTTGTTATTCAGTGGATGATAGCTAGAAATGGAATTCAAGAATGTGCATCTCTTACTATTTGGAACTGGTCAGCTGAATCCGCTGCTAAGTGCCATCAACGAAATAAGCATCAGGTCATTAACCTCAAGGTATTGTCGAAGTGTCCGTATCAGGACAGTGAATAGCTAATCAAGGGAAAAGCTCTAAAACAGTAAAATTTTCAACTAATAGGAATGATTACCATCTTGAAAAAAAATTATTGAGCAAAGAATATCCTTTTCGATAATTTTCCCTTCTGGCTCTACAATTATATATATGTATATATATACATATATAATATCAAGTAGAATATCGAATTAAATTATGGGAATTTCTACAAAAAGTTGAGGATCATTCAAACCTAGATGACCAAGGTAAGGACAATGTCTGAACCAGCTAGCTTCTTTAGGACACATAAGTTGGGCTTCTTAATGTGGATCCTAACAGCGCCAGCAGTATGCAGTAGACGAACTCTTAAGGCGAAGTTAAGATTAGTTGGTATGCGGTGAATGATTTCGAAAGCCTCATTGGCACCAAACTTGTTTTCTGTAACCATAAGATGAGATGGAATAGAGCTATGAATGGATTTTGTTTGTCCTTTACTTAACCACGGAGGGTGATGCTCGGAAATCTGACGAGAAACACACCTAATTGAACGTCCTAAGCAGCTAACTGGCTCCACAGGAGAAGTTAAATTGGTAGATACACATGAAAGAGGTGAAATTAGGCAGTTTATATTTAATCCTGAACTCAAAAGAGGAGGGGTCTAAAGATACAGCGTAATTCAACAGCAGTATATACTCATTTTACCACATTTCTAAGGTGCTATGTTAGTAACTCTCTGATGTTATCTCCGAGGAACTGAATTTGTAAGAATAAGGCCTTTTTCGGAACTCTTGGTACCTTGGATAATCATTTTCACTCGTCAGCTGTTTACTAATATTAAGTTCTTCATTGAGACACTCATCAGAGCACATGGCTCTTATTAATACGATCTAATATTGACTTTGCCTTAATTTTCATTTTTTTCATTTATTTTGCCTCTTTTTGCCATATATTCGCAAAAAAACACAACAAAACCAACCAACAGTATTATCAAATTCAACGCGTTAAACACCTGTACATTAGACGTAAAATATCTGATTCAAGAAATTATCTTCGGACAGTTTTCTTGATTATGGCGAAAAAATTCAATCAAGCTCAAGAATCGATTCGATCGTGTCGTGATACTGCTAGCACTACACTACTCGATCGGGAATACTCTCGACGAATACGCCGGGATCTACGTCGAATGGCTATGTACATGATTAATCTGTCGAAACAAGTTCATAAGCACACGTTGGGTGAAAAAATCAAAGATATTAATGGGTTGCACAGACGTCTGCGTAGTTTAATTAATTGTGTATGTAATGTGTTTCTATTTGATGTGTACAATTTGACTTTTCAGTAGATTAAGTGAAAAGAGTTAAAGAGTTCGTTTATGGTGATTTGATTTATTTTAAGTTTAACAACGGATTGCTAACAGTTAGAGAAATATTGAAAACACTCAGAGAGTACTGCCCGGCTGTTTCGTCCCAGTTTGGGACTCATCGGCAGTACACGACAGTGGGGTCCACACAGTCGGGAGTGAGGACAAATACTCACCGATGACACTGGCTTGTAGTGGTGACAGAAGCATAAATTCGTAGAAGCCAGGATTCATGGGCGCTCCATTGAGTCAGGTCCCAGGGGCTGAATGCTTTACGAGCTTGACTTGTAATGACAATGTCCTGGGTTTGAACCACTGTGGTGAGTGCGTAGTCTGATGAGTCCCAAACTAGGATGAAACAGCTATTCAGTACTCCCTGGTTTTCAGTCTTTCTCTAACTGATGTCAATCAGTGGTCGAACTTGAGAGTTTTTCTTATGCAAATTTTTTTAAATGTTCAGTTAACGACTTATTGATTGGTGGAAGGATTAAAACTGTTGGTGATCTTCGCGTTACTGAACACTGGTTCGAATCTTACTCATTTCACCTTCAGTCAATTTAGATACTCTGAGTGTCAAAAAGACGAAGTCTTGAAATATATTCCAGTACATTTTAAAATGATTACCCTGCTCAGATACTATGGGATAAATTACTTTGTCATAAATCAATGATGACTTGAACGTTTGAAGGAATCTAACTGCCTAATCTATCCAATAGGTACTCGTCTATGCATTATAGTTTATTTGGCTTTAATTAGATCGCAAAAACTTGGAGGATCTAGACTTCGCCGATGATATATGTCTGATTTCCCACAAACTGGAAGATATGCAAGCGAAAAACAGCGAGTTCGCAGAAGAAGCATCAAAGATAGGACTTCAGGTGAACATAGAGAAGACAGAGGTGATGAAGATTCCTGGCCAGCAGTAACAACAACAACAACAGACAACAATCAGCATAAATGGAAGGAACCTGAAAGAAACAACCTCTTTTACCTACCTACCTAAGAAGCATCGTTTCAACTACAGGCGGAACTGAGGAGGATTTCAAAGCAAGGACTGGAAAAGCAAGACAAGCTTTCACTACTCTGAAGTCTGTGTGGAGGTCAACAGCACTCAGCATCAAAAATACGATCCAGATTTTGAACTATAATGTGAAGTCAGTGCTACTTAGTGTGCGGATCAGAGACTTGGCGCGTCATAAAGAGCATCTCAAACAAACTACAGACCTTCATTAATAGTTGTCTTCGCCCAATACTCAAGATCAGATGGCCAGAAAAGATCAGCAATAGTGAGGGATCTCTGGGAGCGAACCAACACAGCAGGAACCGATTATGAAACAAACAGGCATGAAGAAATGGAGGTGGATTGGACATACTCTGAGAAAACAAACCATCAAGTGACATCACTAGACAAGTCATTGCTCGAGTGGAACCCGAAAGGGAAGCGGCGAGTTGGTCGTCAGTGCAAGGGTGAGGGTGACTTGGAGGAGGTCATGTGAAGAGGAGATGAAAACGTGTGGGCAGACTTGGAGCCAGGTGAAGACTATGGCAGAGAACCGAACGCAAAGAAGGTGCACGGCTGAAGCCCTATGTTCGTCTATGAATTAAAGGAAACAATAATAAATAATAATAATAGATCGCAGTCAGCGCCTATATTACATGATAGCAGCTCTAAACTCAGTATTTTCAATCTAAGTGTGCCAATAATGTTTCTTCTTTTTCAAATTCACTTACTTCCTTCATCTAAAACAGAGAGGAGAAATTCATTGTTGATCATCTCCAGATGTGGCTCATTGGTTTAAGTACTTGACTTTCAGCCTGTAGGCCTCCATACCACACATTGCATAATATTGTCAATCCTTCATACAATACTTGAGGTTCACAGTCTGGTACACAAAAAGTCTCTTATGGGTACTTGAGTTCTTGGAAACTTTTAACTGAGAGGGTTATCCTGTTGTAATCCTACTGTAATTTTATTGCAGACATACCCTGGAAAGGACTATAAAGACTGTCTTAGCAACTTTAGAAACCTGTTTAAACGAGCTAAATTATTTCTTCAGATGATTGTACGATGAAAGTCTTAGCCATAACATTTATGAATATTTATCATTATTTTATTCTTTTACGTTTCGAGTCGAACATAGGGCTTTAAGCGAGAGGTATGACGTTTCGGCAGCAGTGGTTTTATTTCTGCCTCATGCCTAAACGTCCCACTTTACCGGCCTTAATACTGGCTAACTGAAGTTAAGGAGTGTGTCGGTCGCTACTCGAACCACAGACCACGTGAGGAGTGGTTGGCCAGCATTCCACTGCTGAGCCACCAACCTTCATTAATTACTCACTTTATATGAGATGGTATCGGGTAAGTAAATCAGCTCACAAGCATCCTGATATATTTGAAAGACTAACTAACACACTAGAGGTTTTCAGTTATGAGATCATAATAGCAATTCTTTTTAACCTGAAGCAGTTGAAGATTATACCTTAGTTGCTGAGATGGCCTTCGTAGTCTGTCAAAGTAGCAGCTGACAGTATCCGGTATCCTTTTTGATAAGCTGTTCAAACACATTCGGGTACCAGTTTTGTTCAGCCATAATCTTACATTTATGAGTTATCTAACAGTAACGTCAAAACAGACTGGCTGACCACTTCATTCATTCAACATAATGTGAATTCAACTAAAAGTTAAAATTTTGAGCTAGACTACTTGTTGGTTGGCTCTTCCGAGCATCTAATGCCAACAATCTTGTATGTTTGTATAGAAGAACGAGAATAATTTGTAATATTATATATGAAAGGGTTTTGATTTGCAGATTAGATTAGATTAATTCCAATACCCATTTTGTCACCAAAAACGATAGATACTCAAGGATAACGTCAGATGGTGCTAGTGAAATGACAGTAATTCGAATCTATAGGTCATCAGATGTCTGTTTTGCACCTAAGTGGTGAATGCACTCGGATTATAACCTGAAGTTTTTGCATTCGAACCTTAGTGGTGCTATGCGTAGACACTGATGAAGAGCCTGAAGTTGGGACGAAAGAGCTGTCTAAGTGATACTTTTTTGTGTTAAGTATATTTAAATAGAACACTATGTCAGTGGTCGAAGGTGGAGCAGGCTAAATGATAACACGTTAAGGAGTACATATTATCACTGATAATCCATAAATCTATATGAAATACGCTGTGCCAACAGTCTACATCACTATTAACTGGGAAAGACTAGCTGAATGTTAGATAATGAAAATGTTTGATACAGCCATGGGTTTAACTTACCTAATATTGAATTATCAAGTGCTGGTCTGCAGATGTTTGCATGGTTAAAGGTTTGATCACGAACTGATATCAGATGGAGGACCATTGGAAAACTGGGGAGTACTGGACAGCTATTTCGTCCTAGTTCGTAACTCTTCAGCAACACGCACCTGCCGGGGATTGAACCTAGGAGTTTCCGGTTACAAGGTGAGTTCGCCAGCCGTTCAGCCACTGGGACCCAACTCAATGGCTAGACCATAAATTCCAGCTTCACCCAATTCGCGATATGTAGGGCAACTGTTAACCAATGTCATAGGTGAGTAACTGTTACCTTACCTGATTTAGTGAACCCCGTTAGATACATACTGCTGAAGAGTTCCGAAATAGGATGAAACAGATGTCCACTACTCCCAAGTTTTCCAGTGGTTCTCTAATTAATATGGAACTGATCGAGTGTAATTCATGTAGTAGATGATGACAAATGAAATTAAAAATTTGAACCTTGGCAAGATTCTAATCAGCGACCTCCCGAAATACTAGTATTTCATCACTAGTTATCCAATTCACTAATGTTGAACTGGATTATCACCTTGGCTTCTGGTCCATATCATATCTTGTTGCAGCTGGAGTTCTCATTCTAAATCTATTCATTGTCAACACTGAATCACTGAATCAGGTTACTGTAATGGTAAAAATGCTCATTTAATAAAAGTATATTTTAACTAAACTAATACTAAACATTACCATTGTAGGCGTGTTTTTGATTACTTTTAGCCCCAAGATGGTTTACCGGATGTTTTCATCTCAATGGTAATGGAAAATCAACGAGTTGGTTTTGTCAGAATTCCCGCACGCGATATTTATTATTCAGCTGTGGAAGGTGAACGAGGCAAATGGAGTGGACAAATGGCAACTTTATATTTACGTGTATGTAACTCATTTATGTATATGGTTGTAGGTTTTATGTTGTAATCACTAGGTGCTAATCCATATGGAAAACTTGCCTTTCGCTTTACTAACATGTTTGAGCAAAAAAGTGTAATACCTAAAGCAGTAAATTTCTGACGAAAAATAACACTAAGAGGACGTAATTTATCTGAAAAGTGCAATGTATTTGCGCACCCTATTCTGGACATTCTGATCACTCAGTGTTGTACAGTAATATTTACTGATGACGTTGTGAGCACAGTTTACCGCTCATAATCATACCATGGTACTCACATTGTGGTGGTGTGATACAGACAATGTGTTCCAACGGAATATTATTCTCACAGTAAGAATCAATGTGTATATTGTCGTTAACGTCTGTATACTATTCCCAAAGTTCACTACTACGTTAGCAACCGAATACTATATATATACATATACATATATATATAAACATTCTATTTCATGTGGTTTAATGTAAACCAAAATCACAAACTCAATGATCAGTTAAAGAATATAAAAGTGTATATATATATATATCATACGTATATATGGGGTCCCAGTGGCTCAATGGTCTACGAGCTCGCCTTGTAACCAGAAGGTCCTGGGTTCGAATCCCGGTGGGCGCGTACTGCTGAGGAGTCCCAAACTAGGACGAAACAGCTGTCCAGTACTCCCAGGTTTTCCAGTGGTTCTCTTACTGATGTCAGCTCATGATGAAACCCTCCATACAATATATATATATATATACATATCTATTTAATCCCTTGAAAATATACCTTAACTTCCATGTCTTGCCTTCTGCTGTTACATCATAACTTTCTTGCTTCGTTTATTTACATGAGTAAAATTTAACTAGACATTTGAATAAAATCAGTTTAAGATTTGCGTGAAACAGAAAGGAAGATAAAGTACATTCGGAAACACTATTAGTATTTTCAAGAGTTGGTTTGTGAGGATTGGATTTGTTTTTTCCAGTTTGACCACGGATTGATATCAGTCAGAGAACCATTAGTATTATCAAGAAATATAACATGATGAGAATGTACTTTATCTTCCTTTCTGTTTCACGCAAATCTTAAACTGATTTTATTCAAATGTCTAGTTAAATTTTACTCATGTAAATAAACGAAGCAAGAAAGTTATGTGATGTGATTACGAGCAATAGTTTGTGCTCGAAATGCCGTCAGTTAATTACTGTATAATACTGTGCGATTTTATCAAAATAAAATTTTATCCATAATGGAATTTCACTCTTCCACAGTACCCAGTTTTATTCTCATATCGATAATTCTGATAACGCACATACATGTACTTGTCAAACATACCTGCCTTGGCAGTTCAATTTTAGAAACAAGGTTCATTTTACCTTTTAGGATTTTCACCCCTCTTTTTTGTTAACACATCATCCTACCACTTCTCTGCTGTAATCATGACCTGTTAACATCTTGACTTATACTGATAACACTTGTAATTCTTTATGGTCTGTTACCTTCTAATATAAATACGTATGTGTGTATGGTCAGAATGCCTGAAATATTTTGCTCAAAATATACAATTATACGTCTTCTTATTGTCTTGTTGAAATTCATAAAGAGAATTAATTGCTTTTAAGAAAAGCCAGTAAGCAATCTTCACTTTTAACAGCTTCACTCCCTTTTGTTCCCCTTTAACGCGTTATATTGATCTGTTTTGTTTCATTTTTGACTACTATTCACCTCACCTTACACTTGTATTAACTGATCAATAATTGAAATAAGAACAAGTTAGTTCAGCGAAGAGTCTCTTTTCGGCGAATTCATTCACTTAGCTGTACAGACGCAAATATATACAATTAATTTTGTGTGTGTGTGTACATTAGGTTTGTCAAAATCAAAATAACAGTTAGTGTGGGTTGTTGATTATATCATCAAAATAATAAAGAAATTAAAATGTGTGATTAATAATCAAAGTTGTAACTAAGTGGGGTGAAGATTGGTAAGATGTGAGTAGGGTTACGTAATGTAGACATGTTTAGTAAGATTAGATGCTAGTGAAGGAGTTTGGAGACAATTATGAAAATAAACTAGATAATAGGTGAAAAGATTGAATGGGTTAGTTACTAAAAATTGTTATACAAAAATTGCAAAAAAATTTGATAATAAAATGTTGATGACAAATAAACTTGAAATTAAAACCACGGTATTAGGAGGGGGTGGAGAAGTTTCTTCTGTGTGCATAACTCAGGCTTTTCTATCCAAATCACTAAGGCTTCAGCAATACAAAGTAAACGGAAGCTTGTTGATTTTGGAAGGCTTCTTTTGACTTTATAGATGACTTTGAACGACTTCTACTTGCAAATCGAATGACCAGTGTTGAGTATATGCTCAATAATGGCGCTCCTTAATGCTCCGTTGTTACCTTTCCGTAGCCAGGCGGGATAGTGTTCTTGAACTCTTTTAGATAAAACACGCATCGAACAACCTATATACCTCGCTCCGCAATAGCAGGTGAATTGGTAGATACAAATGGAAGTGGTCAAATGCGATAGTTTATCTTTAGAGTAGTTGAAGAACAATTGCCGGGAGGAAAATGTCAGTCGTAGTGTGGCAGCGAAGAACGTCCTTCTGAGAGCAGTAGATATCCTCTTCTTCAAGGTGTCAGCCAGAAAGTCACCTTTGAAGGGTACATTCATGTAGACCATCTTCTTCTGCACTGTAATTGACAAAATTTTCATGTATTCTTGTTCATCTGATGTAGGAAAGAGTTACACAGTACTCTTTATTGACTGGATAACATTTATGATGTAATCTGTTACTCATAACAACACTGAAGTAATACTTTGTGTTCAAACTGTCCTCTTATGATCCAGTTTCACAAGTCGCCGTGGAATTCTGTAACAAGAATAAGAGTTATGTGGGGATATTGTGAAAACTGAGCTAAGCATAAGAAACCGTAGACACAATTGGAACAAAAACCAATATTATAATACATTACATGACAGAAGAAAGAGTGTAGACACGTCAACTAATACGGATTGAACACTGAAATTTTCAGTCTTTAAGTTCCACCCTTCTATCACACCGTTTTACTACAGCTGTGTCATTGTACAGTTGTGTCGTTGATCAAATCGAAATATCTATGGTGTTTTGTACCACAGGCAGACAAAGTTCTTTGAAGATTGCCAAAATAATTGCAAATAAAAAACACGCAAAGAGATTACGTAATGAATAAAGAGTATGATTACTGATTACCTCTTCTTTATATTCCAGTCTTAACATTAAATTAGTAGGGTTTTGAAACATAATAATAATAAGGGAAAGAAACGAGAAGTTCGGATAAAAAGCATAGTCGGATAATTAATATTTTTTTGTTTTTGTTGAGGAAATTGACTATTTATGATGGCAATTGTAAGGACGTACGTACTTCTTTAGGATAATCTGCATTGGCTTGAATTTTTGGACAGCTAATGCTTTAGCCATGCCTAAATGTTTTGATCTCGCTCCCAATGAGACGTGCGGTCGGATCTTGCGCAGGATTTCTTCCATCCACCTGGGTGCCCTGAGTTCATGATATGTTCTGTTACAGAACTATGAACACACGTTCTCCCCTTGATAGCCGGGCTGGATATAATTTCCAAGCTCATTTTGCAAGCGGATGCATGGTATGACCAATGTACTCAGCTACCCAGGCACAATTGAAGTGCTATATGCATGCTGATGTAGCCTAGTCCTATAACATGTCTTTTACTTGCTGTCCGAATAGTTTATCGGAAAGATGGCAGCAAAGTATGTCTTACTGAGAGATTTCGAAAGGTTACGTAACCAAATGAGACAAAGGGAATAAACTTTGAGTGACCAAGGCAAAGATTTTGAAAGCTATTTTGCGGAGGATTCCCGCCTCACTGTCACTTTTTAAATTCACGATCCAGGAGCAGAATGTTTCTATGGGAGATCTGAACGCGTTCAACAGCCTTCTTCGATTTCATGTTCTTGTTTGTCAATCCAGATTCTTCGGAGACTCTGCAGGTCTTCATCAAAAGATTCCTCTCTTCACAGACTATACGATCGTACTTATATTTACAGGAAACATAGTAGTCTATTATTGCGTAATGCGCCAATCTTTGAACCTGACAGATTCACCATATCATGCTACTGCCAAATAGCTCTCAGACGTCCTTTTGTCTGTCAAAAATAGTCTCAGTAGTCATACTGTGTTGTATTCATTTGAATTCGTTGATTCAATAGCTGGTGTTAATATATCACGGAAGAGAACAGCATCTCTAGACGTTACCACTCTCCTCATCGATGTTCTTCGCACTGACACTATTTACTTTATATGCAAAATCACCGAGGATAATAATCTGGATGTGAGCGTTTCACTACTTAAAGGAACTACTATTGAGGTGCACTTTCAATGTGCAGTTCATCGAGGAAAACATGAAATTAAAGTAAAAGCCTGAAAGAATCCAAACGGTACTGAAGAAACCTTTATTTGTTAATTTTGAACTTAAAGGTGATTCCACAGCTGAAATCCTGGAGAACTATTTTTCCAGATCACTGAGAACAGCTTCCTTTTCGGCTGAGATAAGAATAAATTTCTGCAGTTGACAAATGATCCATGGTTACGTGCAATACAAACTGCCGCTTTCGCCAACTTCAATGTGTGCTTGTAAATTCATGTGCTCCTGTGGAGCTAGTTATATATTGGCTGCACAAAATGCACACCTTCTGAATTCACATTGAAACATTTCCCAGCATGTTTAGCAAGAGGACAGCGTAACACAATTAATAGCTCATTTCTCAAGCACTTAGTGAACTCAGGCCGTACAACTTCATCGCAGATGTCTTTTAAGATTATCTACATGATGAGACTGAATAGTGCAAGGAGTGTTAATTTTCGACATTTGTGTGTGGTGGGGGTGTTAACGATTCGTCAATACAATCCCAAACTCTGTGCAAAGAAAAAAGTGTTTCCAACATCCTGTTCCACCACTGTCTTAATCTCTTCTCCGATAGTTCGCTATTATTTTTAGTAATTAACTCACTATCATCACTCTCTCTTGATCGTCTTGTACATTCTCCCATCCTCTTCACGCATGTCACGTGGACAGTAAACTACCTTACTTCTCCTTCAATAACCATTTTAAATTTATCAGATTTCAAACCATTTCTTCCATTGTACCTTTGACTATTACGTAACCTTTCAGTTTCCTACTTATTTTAGAAGTCACTGCTGACTAATTATGTCAGCCGTGCCAGTCTCCCCTCTATTACTTATTAGTAGACTACTATATGATTTTGGTAAATATTAGTACTATTGAAGATGATTTCGTCGACAAAATGGATTTTCTCCCCTGCATTGTCTTTTATTTTCTTTATGACTCAACGAATAATTGCATGAAACAGCTTCAGCTGATTATCAACAACAGTTTTAACTCAGACATAAGCTACAAGAAACGTTGCTAATATTATCGTTATTTAATCTTTCAGAGTTCTTTTTATGAAATTTTTATCTAACAATAATTTCAAAATTTTAGAAACAAGGACGTGAAGGTGTTGGGCCTAAAGGTTGGAGAATTCAAAGTCAAATACGTGTATACTTATGGCTTGGCTTGATTAAAGATTTCGTTGCTTACACATGTGGTTTACCTGGTGGATATGACAAAAGTGTATTCAACACACCGAAACCACCGAATGAACTGGTTTATCTAGGTAAATAACGTCATACCATTTTATTTTGTCTCCTTTCGTTTATTTATTTCTTACTTATCCTGCTACATCAAAATGGTGTGAACTGTTTTTAAAAGTATGTTTACACTATGGCATATTTCGTTCAGATGCCTTTTGTTGATTGGTATTTGGTAGGCATGTGGTGTACGCTAGTGACAAGAATTTATAATTAGTATACTGGTTGCATCTTCTGCAGGAATCTTGAATAGATGGGCGACAGGTTAAGTCGTTAACGGAGGAAGTGTAGGTAACATAGCAAGAAATGAACACAAATGAAGTAGAATGCGATTAACTACATTGTACCATCAGTGTATGTCACTTCGGCAAAGATTAGCGATCCCACTAACAGACAGACCTACGATTCGTTCGTTTTTCAACTTATCAGCTGACTGTTCCAGAATTATACCTGGAAGAAATTCCCATCCAGAACTGACTATTTAAAGTCTCATATACATTGTTATTCTCTAGGCCAATGAGTCAGGAGAACCAACTGTTGAGCGGGAGTTACTGTCTTTTTTAAATTCAACTGATGGACCTTAAAGAGGACGTGGAGGCGACAAAGAGAATTAAGAATATGCAACACGTCTTATTATTGGTCTATTTTGATGACAACTTTCACAAATACGAATTACTAGTCTCACTTTCCTAATACGAATCCCTAAATTCACTGATTTTCCCTAATATTTTACGCTTAGGTGAAGTTATCATTCTGTTCTGTTGTTATTGTTCTTTTCATGTCAAGCTGCTCTCTTTCGACTATGAGCTATGCATTAACACAATTTCTTGAAAAAGCCACAGCTCTACATTTTCACTTCACTGAATCATTTAACTTGCTTAGCTGAGTCACTCTGATCTCATTTGTTGATCGGTTGAATTTCAGAACGGTGAAGCACTAGATGCATTTTTTAATAACCTTCAGCCAGGTAATGGATTTCCTAAGTTTCATTTGTTACACATTACGCAGTTATAATATCAGCAATGTTGATCCCAACTTACCGTATCAAGCAAATTATATAACGTCTTCTAGCCTGTCTGGGAGAAATTATAACAAGAATGTCAATTTTGAGTTGTATTGTTTGCAAAAAACACGTGACTAATTTGACGCGGAATTCGAAACTTGAGTTTCATTAATATAGGGATAAAACGTGGGTACTTTGGTACAGTATAATTCCATTACAGATAAAATTTATTTTGATAAAGTCACACAGTGCTATACCATAACAACATAAGACATTTAAGTATTGGGTGGAGGTATTTATTTGATTGGATGGAGAATTTCATCATGAGCTGACATCGGTTAGAGAACCATTGGAAAATCTGGGAGTACAGCAAAGCTGTTTCATCCTAGTTCTGGACTCTTCAGCAGCACGCACCCATCGGGGTTGGTACAAGTTAGAATTTATTGGCCATTGGATCGATTCCCAGGGGCTTAATGGTCTACGAGCTAGCTTGCCCTGTAGCCAGAAGGTCCTGGTTTCGAACCTCCTGTGGTGAGTGTATAATGATGAAGAGTCCCAAACTAGGATGAAACAGCTGTCCCGTACTCCAGGTTTGCCAGTGGTTCTCTAGCCAATTTAAGCTCATATATGAAATCCTGTAACCAATAACATAATAATTTATCTAAAGTTAGAATGAATGTCCCTTTTCATGACACGCAGTGCAATTTTCTGCCCCGCATGGAAGAACCGACTCGACACTGGTGATGAAAATGCGAATCTTGTTCCTTATGCAAGGTACTGCCTTCATATTGTTCAGAAAATTAGCGAGCGAGTTGCCAAAAGCATTTTGGACTCACTTTCATGAACATCGGCCTTCGATGGACACCGCAGATTAGATGGCCAGAAAGGATAGGCATGAAAAGGGGAGTCAGGAACCTTTGCCCAACAAATATGCAGGAGGAAATTGAGATGGACTGGATACGCGCTGGCGTAAGCATTGAGTGACATCACACTCCAGACTGTCAACTTGGACACGACTGAGAAACAAGGAGTTGGGAGTAGGAGAAGGAAATGAAAGCCTTATGGGCAATCGTGGGGTCAGTTAAAAAGGACTGGAGAAGACAAAGTGACTTGGAGTTGTGCTGTTTCAAACCTATGCTCCACTCCAAATTCAAAAGAATAGTAATACTTTATGCATATAGATGTAAATAATTGTATCTGAAAATTCGTAAGGTTATTTACTTATTATAATAAATCACGAATTAATCCTTACCATAAGGCCTACGGTCTTTTTCATTCAATTACTAACATAAATTGATGTGATTAAAGGTCAGGGTATTTTTGTTTTACTCTCTCATTGTATTTTTCTTTATTTCTCTAGAGAGTAGTTGCTTCCAGTTAAGATGTTATATATTTATAGCACGTGACTTGATAGCGTCTGATTCCAGTGGTATGTCAGATCCATTGGCTCGAATACTGGTCGGACCGCATGTATTACAAACACAAGTTCTCTATCAGACTATGAGTCCTATGTGGGATGTTGTACTCTGTAAACAAGTAGTATTCTATCAGAATGCTCAATCTGTGAAAGAAAATCTTCAAGAACTTATTGTGGAAATATTTGATCTTGATCCTGGGGTAAGAAGTGTCTTTTTTAAAATCTCATCTTCATTTTGGTTTATTTTATCAGTGTTTACTTCTAATAGATACGTGGGTGGAAAATTAATGAAGGTGTGGTCATTTGTTAATTGATAGCACCGTGTATAATATTATTACCAGTGAACACCAACCCCCCGACGAAATCAGAAGTCCTGAAGGCAATCAAGATGCTAAAAGCTGGAAAAGCAGCAGGACTAGATGGAATCCCAGCAGAAGCATTGAAAATGGACCCAGAGACAACAGCGAACTTGATGACGCCACTACTGGAGAAGGTGTGGGAAGAAGGCAAGGTACCCGAGAATCACATGACCACTTGATATTCTTGTACATCAGCTGAACTATCCCCGTTTGACAGCATAAAACATGCTGCTAGCCTGCTGAAGTGCATGAGAATAAATGTGTCCAAATCATGGTCCGCTCATAACCCTGTATGATTCAATGTCTTAGCAATATATTTGACACCAATAAATTCTCTAGGCATAATTTAGACCTATAAAGTCAACTGGCATTTACTTACTACGTAAAATATTAATTACTTATTCGTTTTTTGTCAGTGGTATAGCTTCTACGCATCTTTTTGTCCGTACATTTCATTTAGAATGACTTGGAATTCCTGGGACGTTGTTTCTGTGAGATAAATGTAACTTTGGATGGGGAGAAATACAAACCACCACGTTTACAATGGTGGCCAATATTTCGTGGACAGACACCTGGTGGGGAATTATTGGCTGCTTTTGATTTAATTCAGGTAATAATTTTGTGTATACTTACGAAACAGCTGTTATTTCTATAGTTTGTAATTGATTTAGTATTGGACAGTTCATAATTAGTTGATCGGGGAATAACAAATCCAAGATGAATGATGACGAATAAATAACCTTCAAATGTTGACTTACAGATATCTGATTGGTTCGGTGGTGGGTTTTGTTGTGAACCAACATCAGTTGGAGAAGCATTGAAAACAGGCACATTGGAAAACCTTTCTATCTAATATGGGATGAAATGAGTCAAGTTTTCTCAAAATCTGAAATTCGAAGGCCAGATCCTCATTTCACTGAGAAGCACACAAATTAACCACTTACTGTCTATGTAAAATCCAAACATTTCGAAATTTGGAAATTAGAAACGATAGGTCATCAGATTCCATTCGAATGATCAACAAATTCATCTCGTAACCTAAAGTTAATGCGTACGACCTATGGAAGAGTCATGGCCGAGTACTACTGAAGTAGCTGTCCAGGAGTCCTTGGTTTTCTAGCTGATATCAATTCGTGATCTAACTGGTAATCAATCAAATCTCAGCTAGCCAACACTTGAAAATCTAATTCACAGCAATGAATGACCACGGGAGGGAGTTGTCTGAAATTTTGTCGAGAATTTGTGATCATTGAGGTCCACCAATCCGAGTATGAGGGCAGGTGATCGCCAGTGACAATGGTGGGTTGTTTTTGATTGCAGACTAGTCAGTAACTAGTGTAATGTGTCTAGTCCTATCTTTGGTGTAGACTGAATTCTATCAGTCAGTCACGTTTGCAATGTGGCCACCATGCTAAGTAGGCTCGCTATCACGGTCACGCCAGCTAGCACGAAACCTAGGTCCAAAGCTTCCTGCCGATTGCCTCCAACTGTCTAAAACCAATAACTCAAAGTACATCGTGATGGCGAGCCTACTTAGCATGGTGGCCACATTGCAAACGTGACTGACTGATAGAATTCAGCCTGCACCAAAGATAGGACTAGACACACTACACTCGTTACTGACAAGTGTTAAATCAAAAATACCCAATGTACTCCTACAGAGGGTCAGTCGCGATCCCTAATAGCACAGTGGTAACGCCTCTGACTGCAGCACTCACAGTGTGACCCGGGTTCGAGTCTCATGAGGGATGTAAATTGCTTCAGGGTTGCAGATATGCCTTGCAGACTGGTGAGTGTCAACTAGCACGAAACTCAGGTCCAAGGCTTCCTACCAATTATAGCCAAGTGGCAAGGAACATAGAATGTTGATCACGTTGCAAACTCGACTGATAGAATTCAGTCTGCACCACCTATGGACTGGACACATTCACTAGGTACTAACTCTTGTTCAATCAAAGTCAGCTTTTTTGATGATATTAGCTTTCGCTTTTTCTTGGTGAACTGTAACTTTCTGAGCGTATATCTAAATGTATTATACTATGCTTTATTTGTTACTATCACTGAAAAGGAAACAAACTGTTTCGAGAAGGTTCCCTAATAAAGAGAAAAAACCGTCTAATAGAACAATTCCTACAGTGAGTGACCATTTTGCTGAAATAACTTGTTGGAACTTTCAAGTATTGGTTTGGTAGGGATTTTGTTTAATTGCATGGAGGATTTCATCATGGGCTGACATCGGTTAGAGAACCACTGGAAAACCTGGGAGTACTGGACAGCTGTTTCGTCCCAGTTTGGGACTCTTCATCAGTACTGGAACTTTGTCAGTTGAAATACTCCAACTACCTGATCAAAGTGACTTCTAGTGAACAGCTGTTAAAGGAAGAGTTTGCCTATCGTTTGAATCCTTGTTGTGGATGATTCCAGAAAAATGCAGGAGGTATAGAACACAGTTTGATAATCATCATTTCTGTAGATAAGTTTAAATAATCATAAAAACGGTGATCACCAACTGACATTTTGGATAAGAGATTCTAGTGATATGTACCAAAGATATTGCTCGTTACTTTCATTTTTGCTTTGATTTTTCTGTTTTCATTACTGACAGTACCCTTCAACTCTTCCCTCCTCTTCCTCTTCTTCATATTCTGATCCTTCTTAGGAAGATTCACATATTCCGTTTGAGAACTTACCAACTTTCGACGAGTTAGCTGCCTACACTAAAGAATTCGATGATCGTGTCATCTTGAAAAGTATTGAAGGCATGTATCTAGACGATGAAGATGATTTGAACAAGGATTCAGATACTGAAGATGATGAAATGATGAGCAATGTAATGGATGATGAATTCGACGATATCTTCGATACAGAGTCAGTAATGCTGTTAGGTGATGGTAGTGATGATCAACTGAAAAATGCTAAACGCAGACAAATTAAAATTGGTATGGCACCACCGAAACTTGTTCTAGTCAGACGTAAAGGTGACTATCGGATACCGGATAATATTCGACCACCGTTGCAACGTTTTAGGATGGAAGTTGTATGTCATCTCTTTTTTCACGTCTAATTGATGTCAAAGTTTCTGTTATTGTCGTTCTGACACTGAAAGAGTACTTTACTTGAGATCAGACTAGATAGAATGTGAATATTTTAGTGGAATTACTTTCCGAGATAATGCTTGCTTAAGTGGGTAGCTGTGACACCAAAAATATCATACTATTCTGTCAGCTTTTTAAAACTACCTTGACCTTTTGTCATTGTAAATTATGCAGAGGGATTTTGTTGGAACAATGCAAAAGTGGTATGAACACTATAGAACACACGTTGACCTCAAACTGACTAGCTAATTATGCAATCAGTTACCGCTATTCTAAATATCTAAACCTTAGTCTTCATAGAAATCTGTGCGAAATTATGTTCTCTGTGTTACACTATAATTTGTTATTAAATATTAGAAGTCAGTCGGAAGGAAGCCTCTAGTGATCTCAGTTTTGTGGTTATTAGCACGCATGAATATGCTGTATTTGCAGTGATGGCATTTTTCTGGGATTCGAACTCGACATCTAGCCTTTCAAACGGTGTATTTAAGTCCCAGTGAAAACCCCTTGGGATGTTGGTAAACTCAACCAATAAGTTCTGGAAAAGAAACAAAATTCCACAGTTAGCTGCGAACATATTTTAAAGAGAGTATGCAATCATATGTATTCCAGGAGGTCGTATACCAAAGTGGACCAATTTCTCAATCTGAAGTACCGTCATTGAAGTTATTTGGTGGGCGATTATATGTAAGGTAGAAGGCTTACAGTTCTATATGAATAGCAGGACTATTTAAAACTATCTTGGGAAATATCCTCTAGGCTGTAGATTTTATAAGCGAACTACTCAATGTAGAATGAGACAGCGACAAGTCAGTAAACTTCCAAAGAAACTACATTACAATCTAAAGGAATCCATTCGTGCGTCGGTGGTTCAGCGGTAGGATGCGCGCCAACTACCTACGTGGTCCGGGGTTCGATTCCCAGCCAACGTGAGGGTGGCGATCCCACTGCTATTTAAACTTCATAGCTCTCGCTTGAAGTCCTATATTCTACTTGGAACGCAAAGAATTAAAATAGAATTTAAAAAAGTGAACACGTTTAAACTAGGTGAATAGGCATTATGTTCGTGAATATTCCAACTGATTTCAAGGTATATGTCGTCGCAACCTGTTGACATAAATTAAGCAGCCTTGTGAAATCCAGGGAGCACTGAATAACCTTTTCGTCCTATTTCGCAAGTCTTCAGTAGTGCTTACTCACTTTACTCTTCTCTTTTTCTATTTGAATATCAGAATTAATAATTCTACACATATCTTTTGTTTTTCCCAGTTATTCTGGAGTGTATGGGGTATGGTACGTCAACACTTGTTACCGGTTAAACGACCACGTGTAGTCGTTGAAATTGGTGGTCATAAATTAGAATCGGAAGTGATCAATGATTTGTCTAAACGACCCGTCTTTGAAACAAAGCTGAAGGCTATGGATGTTGTAAGTGAAGATTAGTCACCCACCTTTTCTTTTTGCTTACATTTTATTTTAAAAAGTACTCTACCCTTGTCGTTACAATTTATTATTTTTTATCCTTGAATTACTTTTTATTATCCATTCATCCCTTGCGATCCCGGTGGAATATAAGGCTTCAGCAATACACCTCTATTCCACTTGGTTCTTTGTCATCAGTTTCAACTCGTCCCACGACTGCCTATGAGCTATCATTTCCTCATTCACTTAGTGTCCCGTATGTCACCTTTGAAAACTTGACCTGTTGCTTTCCATCTATACTGGAGTGTAACGTCATTCAACGATTTTCCCAGTGTATACCCATTCCATTTCTATTTCCTTTTGTTCATTTGTTGAGCTACAGGTTTTTGGCCGGTTCTCTTCACTACCAGAGATCTTTCTTGCTTATCCCTCCCTGTTTAGCTGTCTATCTGATGAAATTCTGCAGCAACTTCTAGTGATACATGAACAAAGTCTGGGAAATATTTAGAAGCAATGAAGTGATATTGTTCTTAAGTGGAATTCGGATCTTGTTCGTTGTGAGGAGTGGTGTCGATGTCCTTAGTGATTTCAGGGTATTGGAGGTCTAACCTGAATTCTTGATTTCATCCCGGCTAACTTTGATGACACCGCCCAGATAGTCAAATGAAACAGGCAACTTCCTTTGGATTTCTTCAAATGATGGTGATTGGTATTTATTGTTCTTTGTCTAATGCCTTCAACACCTCCCTCTTCCATTGTGTGAACCTGGAGTTCTGGCTTCGATGTACCTTGCACTGGCTTCTTGCCTTCCGCCTGTAGAGCTTCGAGTTTGTGTGACACGAGACGTAGATCATTTGTGAAATCTAGATTGTCTCCGGTCTTTTTGCTGAATAAATTGGCATATTTCAATGGTTAAAGAATTCAGCAGTATTCAGTGCTTGACCACTTTTCAGAGCTTCCAAATACGAAATGAATGATGCAAGAAGATTAATCCATCCTATTTGGTCATCTTCTATCCAATCAGGAGTGTTGAGTAATGATTATAGGCGATTTTAGGAACCTTAAAAATATTCAGAAGACTTGAAGATTCAAGGTAAAGAGAGATCTCTGTCCAGAGCCGAACACTTATCCAATGTTTAAGGGTTGTGGGATCCAGGATGTTCATTGCATCTTGTTTTACACTTGTTCTCTGGTTGTAAATCCATCTAGGAGGACCCTTTCCTTCCCGTTAAAACTCAAGATCAGGTAGACGAAAATATACCACAGACAAAATGCAATGAAAACATCCATGCCAAGAGTCAATTTGTTAACAGACGGACTAGTTGACCTGCTCCATTAAATTACAAAAACAGAACCAAAAGTACCAATCAGCAGATTTCCAATATACGCCGAATCAGTGTTTTTTCTTCAGCTTACCTCTTAAATACAAACTAAATGTCTTTTGATTTATCTCATCCCTTGTCTTCATTTTAGTACTTACCAGTTGATGAACGTTACTGGCCACCTTTAGTTTTTTCATGTTTTGATAATCGAATATTGGGGACAAAAATAACAATTGGAAGTCATACAATTTCAAATGCACGTGACTACTTGGTGTTAGACGGTGAAAGTAAGTATTCATAGTTTTAATTGGCCAGCAGTACTTGATATTTTTCTAGTTCATTGAAGTGTATGATATTGATAGTGGGCGGTGACTGAGATTTAAATGAAAATCTAGGTTGAGTCAGGATTGGAACCAGTGGCCTGCAAATTACCAGTCTAACGCTGTGTCAGCTGAGCTACGAAACCCAAATTGGGAGTAGGTCATCACTTTACTATGATGTAGACTTCAGTTTCACCTTCAGTCATTACTCACTGCATGAACAATAGCCTACTAACTAAAAACCACCTCAAATAGATTCGTTACCATTACACTCCCTCTAATTCCGTATGATTATAACTGACAGTTAAAGATCTAGCTGGACAACTGTTATAATTATTCATTCACATCACATCTGCGAGTCACCAGTGGTTATTCTGCTGAAATAAAGACGTGGTTAACAGTTAGGTCTAGTAACTCAGTTGGTTTAGCATAGGAAGCGGCTGATTCAACTCCACATGAGACACTGATTTTCATTTTACCGCCTCCAATCATGACTTACCACAATTATTAAATTAACCGAACACAGTTACCTTGATGTATTTGAGCTGAATTAATATGAGTATATCAAATATGGTTGACCCTCTTTACTTATCCTCATAATATGAAAAGGAGTCACACACCTTTCTATGATTGGTTAACCCATAGTAACCGGTCCGAAAAGCTGAGTAGTGGAGAATGTATGTAAAACATTTAAGATATACGGTTTCGTCTCAGATTTTTCCAGAATGCTTTCGGGTATACACTTCAGTGTATACAGTTCAGTGACAGAACATCTGGTCAACTCAGGACATTCAGCGCCTTTCGAAAAATCTTTCAAAGTAATATACAAGATTCAATCTCTGGATAAGCATAAAGCATTTAACTAGGTTGTTCCACTACATTAGAAAAAATGTGTTCAAATCCCTGTTTATCTAAGTGTTTGAAATGTTTAAATGATGTATTTTACACTGTTAGGTGAAAAATTATATCCCCTTACAGATCATGTTGACAATGAGTTAATGTTAACTGCAACGGTTTTATATGCAAAATCCAATGGTTAGTGATTCAATGGAACAGTAAGAGAAAACTATTCACTAGAAATACTATTTGAAATACGTTAATTATTCATTATGGACTGATGAAATGCTGTCATCATCTATCTGTTCTAAATAATAATTCTGTTTCGAATTCAGTCGGTTAAGTTAGGTAAGAAGAAAAACATCTAACAGCCACAACCAACCGACCAAATATTAAATTTTGTAATAGCTAAAACGAACGTGCACTTTTCTTACATGCTCAAGAATCTTGTTATAACGACACTGAATTGAGTAACCCCGTCAGCAAATTGTTATTGACTTGTAGCCAGTTAATATGACCAAGTGGACTTATGCATGAGTGTAATAATAACGACGACGCAATGGCTACCCAACGGATATGCTAAATACTCCTTTTCGTCTATGCCACGTTGCTCTTCATTGAGCCCCTTAAATATCAAAGGACAAAGACTGGCCTGTGACTGTTAGGATACAAGTATTGGTTTGTAGGTATTTAGTTGATTGGTTACAGGATTTCATCATGAGCTGACAATGGTTAGATAACCATTGGAAAATCTGAGAGTACTGGACAGTTGTTTCACCCTAGTTTGGGACTCTTCATCGGTACACACCCACCGGGATAAAGCATGTTATATTTATATATATTTTAACCACATTAAAATCTGCCTAGGTCAGTGAAAATACACTGCTCTGATTGGTAGGCGATTCTTTTAGATGGGTGAAAAATAAATACTCTGATTGGTTGGCAATTTGACCAAGACCAAGGAAAGAAAAAGATTATGAAATTGTACAATCATCCGATCACACGATGAACGTTATAGTGATTACTGTTTTAAGCCAATTCCTGTCAAATCTTATCAAGGTTACTGCATTTTGATGGCTTTATTGTATTGCTTATAAAAAACTAACAAAAATAACGTCTACTATTAACTTCACCTTACATGAAAGATACTCATGTGTCCAGTTTATTTACACCTGAATAAAAAGCACACTGTTGAGCTTCTCAGATGATTGGATAGTAACAATAGTAAAAGTAGTAGTAGCCTTATTCTGAAACTTGCATTTAGATGCATGGCAGGGTTTCTAGCCAGTCTCATAGCAAGGTGTTTACTCCTTGTGCAGGATCTTCAAATAATGATGAAGAAATATCGTTCCATCCGAAGTATGTGCCAATACTACTGCATGATGTCATTTCTCTATTTCCTTCGAAAAATTTCTAGTGATAGATAGAAACTTATTTGAAATTGGACGGGAGTACAGATTGTGACTCATTGTGGTAATTCGAGGATTCAACCAATATGAAACGAAGTAAATACAATGTATTTTAGGGAGCAGACAATTTAGACAGCCCAGTGATTTAAACAGGCCATCCATTGTCAGCATTAGTTGGTAATTTATCATTTGATTGGTACCTGAGTATTGGAAGAAAGGCTAATTATTCAAACTGCCAAAGAAAGGGGCCTTAGTTCAATGCAAGAACTGGAGCGGCATTATGCTTATGTCCATCCCAAGCAAAATACAAAGCTGCATCATCCTGAAGAGAAACAAACACGCCCTACATGAAAAAATTCGACCGGAACAGGCTGGATTCAGGAGAAACAAGTCATACATCGATCAAATTGCAACACTACGGATCATCACTGAACAGAGCTTGGAATGGCAGTCGGCTCTCTATCTCAACTTCATCGACTTTGAAAAGGCCTTCGGTAGCGTTGGTCGAGAAGTGATTTTGCAACTACTTCGCTACTACGGGGTGCCACCGACAATTATACATCTCATCCAACAGTTGTATGACAATGCTGCATGACAAGTAATCCACAACGGGAAACTCACGGAATCCTTCGGAGTGAAAACGGGAGTAAGACAAGGCCGGCTGGCTGCCTACTATCTCCAATGCGCTTCCTGATTGCAGTAGATTGGATAATGAGACAAACGGCGGGTAATGAGGAAACAGCCATAAACTGGACCCACACTAAAAACTTGGAGGATCTGGACTTCGCCGATGATATATGTCTGATTTCCCACAAACTGGAAGATATGCAAGTGAAAAGCAACAAGTTGGCAGAAGCATCCGGAGAAGATAGGACTTCAGGTGAACATAGATAAAACAGAGGTGATGAAAATTCCTGACCAACACCAACAGCAACAACAATAGACAACAATGAGAATGAATGGGAGAAATCTGAAAGAAACAAACTCCTTCACTCACTTGGGAAGCATCGTTCCAACTACAGGCGGAACTGACGAGGATATCAAAGCAAGGATTGGGAAAGCAAGACAAGCTTTCATTACTTTTAAGTCTGTGTTGAGGTCAACACTCAGGACTCAGTATGAAAAATAAGATCGGGATTTTCAACTCCAATGTGAAGTCAGTGCTACTCACTATATGGATCAGGGACTTGGCGCGTCACGAAGAGCACCTCAAACAAACTACAGACTACAGGAGATGAAAGCATGTGGGCAGACGTGGAGCCAGGTGGAAATGTTGGCAAAGAACCGAACGCAATGGAGACGTGCGGCTGAAGCCCTATGTTCCTCTAGGAAATAAAGGAAACAATAGTAATGATATCATTTGATTGCAATCTATTGACTGTTCACTTGTTAACTGAAGGAATATCGTGGAATGTTGTGGACGCGTTGTTGAAGAGTTCTAAACTAGGGCGAAACAGATGTTCATTGCTCCTTGGTTGTCAATCATTTTCTAACTGATGTCAGTTCATGAGGAAATTTATCTATAATCCCTAAGGCTGAGCATTTTCATTCCAGTTTACTTTAGTGATTGGATAACTGATTACAATTGAATAAATTTTAGTATTAGTCTCAATTCCCCTAACTACTATTTACCTCCTTGATGGCTTTTTTTTTAAATAAAAACAACTTTTATTTCACTCTAGGTCAATGGTCAGATAACAATAGTACAGTGTATGTTGACAGTGAATCTGATGGTCCAGGAAGATTGAATTTTGGTTTTGGCAAAGGTGAAGATCTATCTCTTCAAGAGATGAACAGTGAACTGATACTATCGAAGACAAGTGATAATGATTTCGAAAGTAAACAATCCTTTGAAACAAGTAGATCTGCTGCTGAACTCTTAGCCGATTTGAATCCAAGTTTTCAACAGTACGGTTTAAAGTATAAACTACCTGATAAAGTTGATGAATTGGATGTAATGTCTTCAGATGGCGGTGTACTCTCCGGTGTAATAACAGATAAGAAACCAGTTGAAGCTCTACCGGGTCAAGTATGCAAATTTGTATTGTAAAAGCACAATTTTTTTTGTTCTATGTTCTACTTTTTGAATTTGGGCTTTTATCTACACAGTTATGTAAGCAGTATTCGCATTTTTCATATATCTAGTACTTGCGGTACACCATTTTTGTTGTAGGTTTTAGGTGTAGATTCGATGAACAAAGATTCAGCTATCACCCTTTTTCTTCGTTTCCTCTCCCTTCTAGAACTTTGTCTGAATGCTATCCTACTGTTCGTCAGTGTGTGTGTATTGCAATGATTCTTCTCAGAGTCAGTCATTTTAGATCTAGCTAGACTGTTGTGTTATGATCCAAATCTACTGGATCGATCTATGAAACTGACCTCACAACCATTGAAAGGTATTCTACTGATTAGGTTATTTTGTCTAATCATATCAGTGTGGGATCCTTTAGCTTACACACTTTGTCACTGAGTAGATTTGTAGGTTTAAATGGCGCTTTCATTTGCGCTGTGTTAAAAAAGCCGGATGTCTTCACGACAGGTACTAGCATGATTAACATCTTTGAAATTTCACTTGAATGTGGTTAACTTTGTGGATATTTTTTTTAAAAGGAATAAGCTCGTCCACCTAATAAACAGTGTAGATCGTCTACAAGGCGTACTGATGTAGTGTAATTCTTACAGACAGTGAGACAACATCTTGGTTATATTTAATTTAACTCCAAAATACGTTAAAAGGAAAAAAAGTATTGACTGTACTCTAGCAATTTATGGACATTGTTTGGTTTTCTGTGAATTTTCATATTTGGATCGTCGATGGCCTGGTGAAATTCTTAGCATTAACTTTAAAGAGTAATTTATACTTGCAATTAATAGTGTTCTCTGAGCTGGTTGGTTTAGTTGCGAAGCTTTCGTCGTCCTTCTGGACAACATCCCCTTTCAGCGCCATATTTAGCACAAAGTGAAATGATTTAAATTTCTTCATGAGTGATAAAATTGCGTCTCTTGGTAACTATCTTTACATATGTATTGACCATTTTCTATTGACTTGGATTTTAAACTTCCTGGTCACCTGTTTTACTTTTTATTAGTTGGTATATTTCGTCTATATTAACGTGCTTGTTTTCAAGGGTTTCTGTTTAAGACGGGGAAAAAGTGAGGCTGAGCAATGTCATTCTTTTTTTAGTTAGCTGTTTATTTGAAAACATTTTGTTGACTATGAAAAGAAAGGTTCACATTTTATCATCTCTTTATGAGAAGAATAGGATGATGGTTGGTCACAATGGCGTCCAGGATATGGATTTCATTCTGTTCAGGAACCACCACTCACCCCAAGTAAATGACTGACTGACTGACTGACTGAGATACATACCCAACACACATCGTTTGAAGGGCCAAAGTGTCATCTAATAGCCACGAGATTGACATTAATTATTTTATTTGTATTTTCTTGTTGATATTTCTGGACTCAATTGATTGGCCTCATTTTATAGTGTACAGGCTGCTTGTACAGATGCCTCAACATTACCGTGGATAGTATACTTACGTCACTTGTTTTGGGTTTGGTTTATCAGTCATGTACGAACAGCAAACTTGGAATGAATTTGTGGTTTTATTAAGATCCAGCATAAAATAGTATGTCATCATTTCTCAAGCATATTGTGACTTGTGTGATCAGTTATTTCTCACAGCTGTGAGTAAACTTTATTGTTGCAAAAAATACATCAATACCATGTGTCGTTTTCGTGATAAATGTACGGTGCTGTACAGCATCTTCAAATCACAGGCCAGTCTTTGTCTTTTGATATTTGCGTGGCTCAGTGGATTGGAAGGTACAGTGGACAAATGAGCATATTAGGATACTAGTCGGGTTCCTTACCATCATTACCAATTAGCAGGCGGAGACATAACAAAGTTGCGACGGGTTTATTCAGTTCAGTGCAGTTAGAACAGGTTTTCATGGATGTAGAACAATGAGAAGCGGTTAGGTATGTGATAATTATAAAGTAATATAAGAATATACCCACCCGATAGACAACATTGGATGAATAATGTTTATTACCAGAGTTAGGTTAATTTGAAATGTGGATTAGACTGATCCCTTTTTAGACTTAATGATTTCCAATTCAGTGATTTGATAGCTTGCTGTGTTAAACGTATCAGCTAATAGAGAAGATTTGTAGCTAAGGTGGATGATTTTTATTTGGTTGTGTTCTCTGAGCTGGTTAATTTCCATTGCGGAGCTTCCTTTGTCCTTCTAGACAACATCCTCAGAGCAAACTTTAGTAAGGTGAATTCAAATATGTTCAAATCATGTTAAAGTATACACTGAAGATGTTGTCTAGAGGGACAACGGAAGCTTCGCAGTTAAATCAAGCAGCTCAGAGTGTAACGACAGAAGACAAGGGCCAGGCAACAGATCGTTTATTGAGAAAGTCAAGGGATATTTATAGATTTTTATGTGCATTATTATTCGTTATTGTTAGCAGGGAAGCGACGTCTTCTGATTGGTTGTTTTCTTGCTGAAGGTTATTCTGTACTGCTTGTCACCGTTTCTTAGAAAGTTAAGCCATATATCTGCGAATTGTAACAAAATATAATTACCGCAAAATACATAAATACCACCGTTGAACATAACTCACTTCCTTCCCCACCCCAATGAAACTTATATTCTGTTGACTACAAATACACTGATGTCACCCAGCTGTCTGTTCACATTTTATCTTAAATTCTGAATGACTGCACATTTTAAATACATTCAACTGAAAATATTAACTAACGAACTATCATTCCATCTTATGCTTGCTTGTACGCCAACAAATACAGTTTCTGGTATAATTTTCATTCGCCTTTTCTGGCTGGCTATTAGTGTATTCTACTATTCACGGATTTGTAAATGTAGAGCCTGAGGAAGAAGTTATCGAAAACAACTGTTCGCTCGAAATCATCCTGTTCTGATTACTTTAGGGGGATTTTCGGTTCCTGTTATTATTATCTCTAGCGGCGTAATCAAAGCTTAAAAACTGACTAGCTCACTACAGTCTGATTACTCAATCAATTTCTAATAACAGGTATAACTTATAACAAAGTCTACAAATACATACTGGCTAACTCATTTTATATTTTTCTGCTTTATATAGACTTGGGAATACAGAATAAATTTTTATGCATTTTTGTTTAATATATATATATTCAACTTTTAATAGGCTCATCTTGTCACAACGCATCCTGGGCCAACACCTGAACAGCTGGCCACAGCTGATTGGTGGACTCGTTTTTATGTAACAATAAGAAGTGGAGAGAGTAATTACGATGAATCTAGATATAAAGTTAGTCACCTGTTTTGTATTTTGACTACAAAAATAACCAATTATGTGTATATTTAAAATGTTAATGGATCAATTCATGGTTTTAGAATTAATTCAAACCAGTAGAATAGGAGACAAGAAATAGAGATATAAAACATATCAATGCTGAATAAAGTTTAAATGATCTTTAATGCGGTTGGTTATCTCACTCATCAGAAAAGCCACTGCACTGATTCAAGTTAGATCACGGATTAGTATCAGTCAGAGAACCGAACAGCTCTTTCATCCTAGTCTGGGACTCTTTAATAGCGCGTGGCCATGACTTCACAGGGAACGAAGCCTACCATTTGCCCACTGAGATGGAAGTAAATGACACCATGATTTCTGACTTCTGTCCGTCCACCTCCAGGGTCATCCACTGTCACCAGCGAGTACTTGGCTTTACATCCAGCATTGTGGACCACATTGGTTACAACTTTACACATGAGGAATTTCATTTCGTAACCAGACACTAATGATCATTACATAATTCTTGCAGGGATCTGATTAGTTCCACGTTCTCTGATTCATCTCATTGACGTAAGACACATAGAAAACTGCTGGAAACGAAGGGATATTGATTCAAGTACTTTATCCTAACAACTTGTGACTCTTTAGGAGGTAACACTGACGACAAAAGTATGCATAAAGTTATAAAGTCTATACGGATTTAATAACTATCGACTGGTGGTTACACAACTGTGAAGGAGGATGAAAATCACATGGTTACTTTTAGCACATATTCTTCCAGACCTAATGAAACAGCGGGATAACTCTTGAATCGAATCCTTGCTAACCGATTACTACCAGTGAACTGGAAAGACTGCTGCTATTTAACCCACAGCACTCTAACACATGATAGATATTATATGATTAACTGCTTGAATACTGTCCGTTTAATCAGAGGACCAAGAAGACAGACTAAGAAGACAAGATTAGTTCTCCCGGGAAAAAGGCCAATGGGCAGAAAATAGAGCTGTTTATATAGTTCTTTTACGTGTCCAAATAGTTAGAAGTTTAATATACAAATTCTATGTTTTAAGTGTTTAGTTATGTGCCCATAAAAATTGAAACAAATGACCTTTTGTAACTGAAGAGGACAAGAGACTCGGTAACGGATAGTTTATTTGCAATTTGACATACACGTATAGAGGACTTATGCACACAATATACTAAAATCGCCATTTGCACAGATCTCCTGTGTTGTGCTCCTTCTGCCCTTCGTATTGTGTTTATTTGTCTTCTTTATGTGTCTCTCATGTTCAGCCGCAATACTGGTTCGTTTCCTCTCTTTTGACTTCAAACCTATCTCTCCGCTATTTGACATTTTTGTGCCAATGAATGTTTTTTTTAATATACTACTGATAAATCTGAGCTGCTGGTGATCTTCACGATAGGAAGTAATACTTATCAGTGTATCCAATTTCCGACCTCCTTCTCTCCAGTAAACATGATTTTATTTCAGAAATTTAACCAAGTTATGGAATAGTCACTTTCTGCCTAACCTGATATTCCTCAACAACCTCTGAATAATTTGTTTTCACTTCTCAGTAGTATGGCGTTCAGCTTGTCAAGGCTACTTCACTTTACTGATAAGAATTCGTATCCAATCAGTTGGCTTCATTGTGTTGCATACTGACAAAGTCATCTATCTATCTCATCATGCTTGAAAGTCTTACATAAAGACGTCCATGTAATCACTAATGATTTCCTTCAATAAAAAAATATTTACTCCAGTTGCCAAAATGGGAATGTTATTATCACATGATGTATGTGTATCTATTTTTAGAATGAAGTTGACCCTCTGACGGATTCAGAAGACAGTGATATTGAAGAGAAATTAGAGAAAATTGCAGTCCAGTCAGACAATGACTCAGACGGTACGTTCGATGTGGTATTAATGTTAACAATGACCATAACAGGATAAATTAATAATAGTAGTAATGATAATAATAATTTCTTCAAGATTTACCTCTCAATCTCATGTTTTTTTTATTCCTCCACGTTCCCACTGGAACATAGGGCTTCAAGCTAGAGGTTTGAAGTTTCTATAGCAGTGTTTATTTTTACAGGATGGGGCTGCTAGCGTCATGCTAAACCCTTCCTCTTTACCAACTTCCTTTCTGGCTTCATGAGGTAAAGGAGTGCGTCAGCCGGGGATCGAACCCCGTAGCATGTGCATGGTCGGCGAGCGTCCTAACCGCTGTGCCACCGACGCACAATCTCATGTTTAAAAAGAATTATTTTCACATGTAGTTTATGACTACTGCATGAGTAGTATACCTAGGTTAACTACTATTTTTTAAAAGCAAAAATATGCTTGTGCAGAATAGTATATATATTTCATCGGATTCTCTTCATCTGCTTACAGTCTACAAGTTGATGATATAAATATACATCGAATTTTATTATACTTGCAGGGATCAACATGATTTTTGTTAATACAGACACAAGTTCTTCCCCGGGCTACTCAAGAAAGACCATATAATACTACGAAGAACATTGAAGGCTGTAAGTAGGGTCAGTGCTATCCCTTTGACTCAATTAACTGACACTGTTGTCAATAGGCATATGAATTCTTGTAAACACTTAGCTAAAGTTATCTTGTCTGATAGTTAACATCCTCTTTATTCACAACTGTTTCCTTGTATCTCTTCGGGTAAGACCAGAAGAAATTTCATAAACATTTATGCTCGTACTACAAAATATAAAAATTCGACCGCACCATATTTGGCACGAGTTTTGTGTGAAGAGACAAATATCAGAAAAGAACTTTTACCACTTTTAAATCATTAACTAAACTATAAAATGTAATGATGCATATTAATGCAAGTGTTATTTGTTATATTATTTATTTATTATTCACTATGACCTAGCAATGGTGTGATTTTGTTGGGGTTTTTATTTTTCCTATTAATTATCAATATTTTAACATTTTATACATTTATATAATTATAAACAGAGCTAAACCATTGCAATATGTAAAAGAAACACTGAAAATTCCATGCTGTAAATTGTTATTGTTGTGGAATAAAGTGATTATTATTATTACATTAAAGAAGTTAACAAGCCATGTTCAGAAGATCCACATATGTAACTTATGTGGGAGTTTAAGGTTAAGTTGAAACATAGACATGCGAAATTAATGGTCAGATACATCACAAATTAAGTTGCACAGTCAAGACAAGAGGAGAAAAGCTGGTGATGAGTAATAGTGTGGTGAGTTTAACTCAATTTACAGAATTAAAAAATAACTAAATTCCACTAAAGCGAAAGGGGGCAGGTTGAAAGCAAAAAAAATTATGTAATCAATTGAGACGAAGAGATTAAACGTTGGGTCACTGAGGCAAGGAAAGACTGATAAGGGAATCTTTCTCAACATACAAGTCAGCTTTTAAACGTCTGATAGCAGTTGCTTAGTTAAATTTGAGGAAAGTTCAGTTATATCGTCTATTAATAATCTAGAAGGGTATCACGGTATCCACCTTGTGACTTGTATCAACAAAATGTCTGGCAATAATAATAATAATAGTAATTTGCTTTATTCCAGAAACAGTACTAGTGGTACAGTGTGGAATTTTCAGCACATATCTACAATATTTGTATCTAATTTTACAGACATTTGAAATAAGTATTAAACAAAAAAAAATAATAAATCTGAAGACACCAACAGCAAAAAAAAAGAAAAACAGGATAAACACAAAATAATTATAAATGCTAAAAAGTACAAAAGTCTACCAAAGTGCTGTTCAAAGCATTTACTCCTTTGAGACGTGAATGTTTCGGTGCATAATCAGAGAATCTGTGGTTCGCCTTTCTTCCTGTTCTCCCAATGTAACTGCTGCCGCATATACACGTAAATTTTTATACACAATTAGAGTTAACATGGGAAGAGTATCTGTCAAATTTTGATTGCACCGAAGAGTTTGTTGTTCCATAGACGGGAACCAATTTAGATTCACGATAGGTTACATCTACCAAGCCGTCGAGCGGTGTTAGGCCACATAGAATTCGGCTAGAAAAGAGTTAGGCGTGGTCCATAAAGCTTCTGACCGTTGATTTGATCCACATAACGAGGTATGCACTCGCAGTTTGTGGTCAACCAGATGGTGAAAATCAGTGATTGGAGACTATTGGTGACAGTGCTTAAAATCGATCCAAACGCATTCACGCTTTACGAATTTCCAGATCAGTTTAATCGTTATTGTTCTCCACGTTCTTATTCATCAGCCGATACATTTGTGTTCAGTGTAGGTTTTTCACATTTGTTTTTCTCAACCTTTATGTATGTCTCATATGAAATGCTGTGGCAATTTGAAGTGCTACACTTTCGTGCACAGTTCTGTGTTGAAGATCAAGCTCATTTGAGTATAAGAAATGTTGAGTTGAACTACAGGAGAATAGTAAAAATTCCTAATCTACAAAGGTAGGTTAGTGGAATGAACCGGAACCTGAAAAGCATCATAAGAACAACCTTCTAAGAAATGCAATCTTCTGATAAGCTTTAATTGGAAAACTGAACTATATGTTCTGCTAATATAGAACTGGGTACACTGTCATTCGGCTAATGACATATTTTGACACTGTAAAGGCTGTTAAACTCGTCAGAATATAAAATGAAGTGTGATACCTGAAGGTGGAAGGAAAGTCTGTGTCGAGTTAGGATTCAGACTGCCAAACACTGATTAATTAGTCTTTCTGTCTACCCAACTGCTAACGAGGTCATCATTCTACTGCAACCATAATGAATTAATTTATGAACATTTTTCAGATTTAATGTGAAACGGAGGTTGTTAGACTGTCGTATTTTGAAAACATTGACTATATTATGGAGACATAAGCTTTAATTGCTTTTGCATAAAATATAAATCAGTCATTATCAACCTTTTCAGACTAAAAGAATTGCTAAACAATCTTAGACTTGGTATCAATCTAAAGCGGTAGCGGTAAGCTCCACTGCCTCAGACAACAGTAAAGATGTGCTGTTGGCTGGTAATGGAACAGTAAACTAATTAATTCATCATTCGATCTTAGATGTAACACTAATTACCGTTTTGTGCTACTGATGCTGTGTCTAATGTATGCGTGTAAAGTGTTGATTCCATGAACAAGTGACTGAATATCCAATCCAACTTTTCATCCATCCATACCCATAGACTGGTTTACACTCATGGTTGGTGCACAGTACTTGGTGGGATTGATCATTTTGGCTAATCGTGGCAGAAGAATTCATAATGCCTCCGAAAGTTGCCTAGGAATGGATAAGTTGAGTTGAAAACCACCATTATTCCCACTTTATTAAATATTCCTTCGAAGATTTTCATCTCTTTTACTATTTGGTTTCAATTTGTACGTAATTTTAAAGGAGGACTCGAGTAGGTTCTTTTTCTTTATATTTTGCGTTTCGAATGGAACATAGTGCTTCGAACTTTGATGTTTCAGTAGAGGCGGTGTTGTCTTTACTGTCTTCACTGATACACATTGAAATGTCATAAAGTCTAAATATCTCGTTAGTTAGTAAGTTGGAATTCATTTGTCCGAAACAGATCTTTCATGTACTAGACTATGAACCATGCCTGTTGTGTAAGAGCTGATGATACTTTCCAGTTATCCAGACTAAAGTAAACAGAGATGGCATCGAATTCGGAACCCACTGGCCTAAGATTGAGTGCCTAAGTATAAACCACACAGATACCTAAGCCAAGCGGTCTTACCTTAAGTCCCTCTAAATGTCAGACAGTTAATTACATCTTCAGGCATAAACGTGATCTATACGAACTGGTTGGCTCACATGATGCTTGCAGTATAGACGGCACTGAAATAGAAACTAAGTCAAGCATTAAATATCTTGGAGTAGTTCTATCCTTTGACGTTTTTTGGTCATCCTATGTGTTATGTCAACTTCTAAGAAAATGTCCCATCTTATTTTCTGCATTTGGAAGGTAAGACAATCAGGAATCACTCAAACTCCACTTTTACGATTCGATAACTCTTGCATCTCACCTGCTGTTCTTTATTGTCCCCCCCCTTAGTGTTTTCGCTGGGCTACTCAAAAAGTGCCGTGTTATTTTGAGAAGGGTATTAAAGGTTGTCAGTGGGGAAGGTGATATGCAAATTAGTCAGCTTGTTATTACATAAGCTGATAGACATCTGAAGTTAGGAGAGAAATGGTATAAATCTATATTGCCTGACTATCAGCATCTTTTACCTCGCTAAACCAGTGATAAGACTGGTAAAGAGGAAAGGTTGGGCATGGGGCTAGCAAGCCTATCCCGTCAAAAATAAACACTAACGTTACCGAAACTTCAAAGCTCTAGCTTGAAGCCTTAATGTTCCACTGGGAATAAAAGAGAAAAATCAGCATCCTCGCTGTTTACGATTCCCCCTCCTTACATATCTCATCGAATACGATCAGAAGTCATTATAAAAAATTATATGATCATACAGCTTAAGACAAAAACTCAACGATATCCTATGTGATAAAGATAGTGTCAAGCGTGAAATCTACGACTTAATATGTAATTAGCAAAGTAATTGGCACTTTTATTCCCTCTTATATGTAATTTATAGTGACAGTATTTCAATTATATTGTAATTTTAGCTATTAATGTTATTATTGTTATTATTATTTTACACTTTTTGCCCATTTCTGACTCCGTTGTCACTGCTAATACCAAAACGCTTCTAAATCAATTCTGGTTACCTATAATTTGCAATATGTACGTATTTTTTGTTTTTCCTGTTGTTGACTGAACTAGATGCAAAAAAATGTACAAAATACTGAGATTCCAAACTGTATCATAAGTACTGTTTTGGAGTAAAGTAAATCATTATTATTAGAAATTTAATGGACACTGATATCTAAACTAACATTGCATTTGCATTTTGCTTTACTGCGCAGCATGATTTATTCTTTTTTCTGTGTCCTCTTCTTTCGCACATACAGAAGAAACTACCCAAGGGAATGGAGTACAGCCAACTTACTTAGACTATAAGCAGAAAAGAAAATGTTGGCGAAGAAATAATAAGAAAACAAAGAAAAAGTTGACAGCCTTAGAAAAACGTCAAATGGAACTCGCCAAGCGTAGAGCAAAAGTTAAAAAGAAGAAGAACAAGAAGAGTGTGAAAACAAAAGTCAAAGAAAGATTTGTATGTGATAAGTATTCATCATTATTAATTTTTTAACCAGATAATTTAACTGGATTTCTGTATAGTTTGTTTTTTCGTGTGTTGTTGCCGTCGTTCTGGGGTTCTCTGTGCTAAATGGCTTATTCACTTGCGAAGCTTTCATTGGCTCCCTTGACAACATCTTGAGTGGTAACTTTAAAACAAAGTAAGCTTTAATTGGTGGATGGTAACTAGCAGTGGAATCCAGGATGCGCATTTCGTCCTATTTGGGACTCGTCACCAGGGTGTAGTGTCTGTGGCATAGTGGTTAGGATGCTCGCCGACCATGCACATGGTCCGGGGTTCGATCCCCGGCCGACTCACTCCTTTATCTCGCTAAGCCAGTAATAAAACTGGTAAAGAGGAAAGGTTGGGTATGAGGCTAGCAACCCCATCCTGTAAAATAAACACTGCTACAGAAACTTCAAGCTTCTGGCTTGAAGCCCTATGTTCCACTGGGAACGTGAAGGAATAAAAAACATCTGGGTGTAGCTGCGTTCCGCAGTGAATGATGATGTTCCCATCGAGGCTCGAACCCAGTGCCCACAGTTTGAAACGCCAATGCGTTATCCACTAGTCAACGAGAGCCACCTCTTATGCAACGGGTCATGTTAATTATTTAATTCAATTTTAGATATTCCCGTCGATTGATTGGACCGAAGTGCTCGGTCTCAGGTTGACGAGTCCCAACTAGAAGCTGACATGTCAGTCTGAGACCAAGCACTTCAGTCCAGTCAATCGACGGGAAAATCTAAAATTGAATTTAATATAGTGAACTTCATTGAAATCAATCTTATGACCCGTCTCTATAATGTGCTTAGCTATCGATGATGTTAGACATCTATTTCCGGGATCATTTGTATCCGGCGATTTTATTTGTTGTTGCAGCCACTTTGGGATATGTTCTGTAGCCCTAACCTGCAGAGACCAATGGGTCCTTCATATGTACGTGTGTCCACACATGCATGTAATGGATAAACACAATGGGATGTGACACTGACTCATGAAAACATTTTTGTTAATATATTTTGGCTACTTAACAGTAAATCAAAATAAATGATTCAGCGAAGAGACTCTTTTCAACGAATTTATCATCAAGCTGTACAATCGTATATATATGGTTTTTAAGAAGTTATATATCCGGTGAGGGAATTGAAACATAGGTGTGAATGCATAAAATAATAATATGAAATGCAATTAAAACTAAAATGTTTGTGATTATAATCGTAGTTAAATATCAAGTGGCAAAGCAAATTAATGTAATATATATAGTATAATTCATAGGATGCATAGAACTTGAAAAAGGGTGTGCAATTATAAGATGAGTAGACAAATCGAATAAAATAAAAACCTTTCGTAATATTGTGTGAAATTTAATAGCATAGAATTTAATGTTGTAAAAAGGAATTGATTCAGAATGACAAGTGGAACAAGTGAAAAAATACCGAAGACAGTTAAAAGTGAGAGTAGTAATAGTAACAATTGACGTAATAAGGAAGAGTATACAAATTGAATAGACAAAAATGGAAAATTGAAAAGTGAAAAATTGGTAGAGCTAAAATATGATTGGAGATTACCATACTTTAGCATAGAGGGGTTAAGACCATGAAAGTTGGAGGGGTTGGACGAACTTTTTCTGTACTCAGAGATCTGGCTTTTCTGTTTCGATAGCCAAAGCTTCAGCAATACAGATGAGTCGGGTACGTAGGGATTTGGGTAAATTACTCTTTGCCTTTTAGATGACTTTGATGGCGGAGGCTATAGAGATAGGTTAATCATTATCGACCAGATGCTGAATGATCGCGCTTCTTATTGCTCCACTTCCACCTTTTCGTAACCATGCAGGATAGTGTTCTTGCATCCTCTTGGACAAAATTCGTGTCGAACGACCGATATACCAGCTCTGGATATAACTTCTTAAAAACCATATATATACGATTGTACAGCTTGATGATAAATTTGTTGAAAAGAGTCTCTTCGCTGAATCATTTGTTTTGATTTTCTATCTGTTACAATGGGAATTTTCCATGATTTACCTTATAGTAGTCTAACTAAATAAACTGTTAAATTGATTATTTTTTAAATAATAATTTATATTGATTCAATTTGACTCAGGGAATTCGTAACATCTACTTATAATTTTATGAAGCTGACTCTTATTGGCTAGTAGTGAAATTCAGGGATGATGTTTCGTCCAGTTTGGATTTCATCAAATGGGTGTACTTACTTCTAACTGAATTGATGTGTCCCTGCTGAGACTTAAAAACAGTATCCGTCCCTTTAATCATCCACTAAGCCACTGGGCAACAGAAGTTACCTCTTGTGCAACGCATATCATTTGAAATTACTAACAACTCTTTGTTGTTTGAAGCTATTGGTACTCAGTTTGACAGTCAAGTGGGTCATTGTCACTCAATGAGGAGTACATAGACACAGCTGACAACTCTCAAACAGAACAAAATAGACATACTGGATTCTACTGCTAGACACTGCCAAACAAGTAATTTCAAGTTATTAAGCCTGGCAACCGTTCAAGAAGCCAAATTATCAAGATGTGGCTGGTCGATCTCAATCAGATATAAATAAAGAGGGATGAAAAAACTTTGCCATGATTTTATAACCTCTTCTTTCATTAGTGATATGCATCACATTTATGTACTATACATCGTTTCTTTTTTATTTTCGTTAGATTAATTCCAAGGGACTGTTTCAAAAGGAATTTATAGACTTAAACTATGACATTGAGACTCAGGAGGATCAAAGTTGGGTGGAAACAATATTGGTAAGTTTTTTGCCATTCAATTTCATATCGGACGCCCCATTCATCGTTTTCCATTCAGATTCCACTAGAGGGCTTAGCGAGCAATGTCATCCCACGGTATCATAAATGTGTGTCCGATCCGTCTCCATTTTCTTCTGCATACTTTTTGAGCGATAGGTGCTTGTTTGGCTCGTTCCAAGAGTTCTTTGTTGTTGATTCTTTATCACCCGCCATTTGATCTCCAGTATAGAATCACAGAAGGCAGTTGTTGATGAAAGTCTGCAACCTGTTAGAAATGCTTTTATTGACGCACAGGCCAAGTTGCTCACCAATATAGAAAAATGAATGACTTAATATTGGTGTTGAGAAATTCGCTCCTTATGCTGAGCAACGCAGAAGATTTCTACAATGATTTTAGAGTGATGGTCTGTCATGTCTTTCTGATTCTGGCGTGTTTGCACGTCCTCATCTGTACTATTCCCTGTCATTGAAACGATGCTTCCTGGATAAGTGAAGGAAATGACCTCTTTCGAATTTCTGCCTCTGATATTGATTGGTGCTTGTCGTGATCCTCATTGGTTGGTTATCTTCATCACCTCCGTCTTCTCTATGTTCACCTGGAGTCCTGTCATCGCTGCCAGCCTCTTCAACCAGTTTGTTGGTTTTCCCCTACAAGTCTTTGAATTTGTGTGATATTGGACATAAATCACCCGTGAATTCCAGGTCTTCTAGAGTCTTCTTGTCGGACAATGCATTCCTGTCTTCTCTCTCCCCACAGTATGAAGTAAATCCACTCTATCACAACTATAAATATCATCAGTGATGGTAGGTACCCTTGACTTCCTCCTGTATTCACTTCAAAGCACGACAATGTAATCGTTTGCATTGCAAAGCTTCTCATGTGACATACAGACGTACGGAGCTTAGCAACATTGTATTAAAGACTTGTCTGTTTGAAATTCTGATATAATTATTAAAGTGAGATTTTCTTATTCAGAAGAACATAGGAAAATCCTTTAGGTCAACATGTCAATAAAGTGCGTAATTATTTCTTTGGCGATTCTTCCCCAAGCTGGATGAATTAATTAATCTTCACCGCTAACTTCAAAAAGAATCGGGAAGTTCACTTGTATTTTGATCTTTTGACTGTTTCTTCATTGTCTGATAATTCCAACTAATGCCGAATTTGTCTGTGAATTGTAGATTCATTCCTCTGAGCATCAAGTTTCTTGGGAATTGTTGAAGATTCTTTATGTTCCTCCATCTCAAGATTTCCACATTTTTCAAGTTGAAAGAAATTAATGTTCACATCGATATGAAGGGCTGTGTTATCATATCAGTGTCCATACATAAAAAGATGAACACTGCATTCGTTTTAACTAGTCTGTTTCCTTTTTATTCACAGAGAATTCTCAAGGTTTACTTTGCTCTGAGATTATTACTGATTATGCTGTCTATAGAGACAATGAAAACTTTGCAATCAAAGTATTTCAGCCGCTGAACGCGAATACGGCACGCAAATCGTTCTCATGAGGTATTTATCAATAAATATAGAACTGTCATCAATCTGGCAGATATAGTTCCATTTAGGGCATCACATATTTGGAGGTATTAGATATGTATGTATGTACATTTAGGCACCAAGCCGGCTGACATTTGTCAAAAAATCGAGATACATTGAGTCACCACAGAGAGATTTATTTTAATCATCACAAATTTTTTTTTAAAATATTTGCATGAAAAATATATTGTGTACTTGTCCTACATTATCCTTTTTCTTTCCTGAATTCAGATATATCCAGTTGCACTTGAAGAAGTCCCAGATTTTAACCGGTTTGAGCAACCTTTCCAAAATCTTCCATTTTATAAAGGGAAACAACGTGATGACGATGTATCCGATAGCCGTATAACAGGATTTTTCAAGGTAAACGATATTTGTTTGCTTTCCATGTTTGCGCTTAAATACCTAGAATAGACTCCTACAGCATTACAATATTATTACTGGGGAATTAAAGTGCATATGCAAGATGGTTGAAGGCGATAGGTGGGAGCTCTGGAACTAGGTTTCGTGCCCGTTGGAATGTGTCCTGAGATTCGAACTCGCGTCACCCGGTGCACCAGTCAGAGACGTTACCACTGAGCTGTTCAGACTCGCAATTGGCCTAGTATTAAGAATTCCTGCGGATCACCTTCAACCATCCAATGTATCAGCAATTCACAGTGCACCGTGAATGGTAGCCACATTGCACAAGTGACTGACAGAATTCAGTCTGTAACATAAAAAGGTCTAGACACATTACACTAGTTGCAAACTAGTATCCGATCAGATTAAAATGCATCTTGGTGTAAGAATTGAGGTATTCTTCAGGGATATCCAATAATGTGTGCTGTAAGGTTACATGACTCTACGTAGAAAACGTTTGTGCTGTCTGAATGATGAGTGAGTTATCCCCTGTCCACTTAAATCTTCATAAAAGCATACAGTAATCCTTGAAAAACAATATAACGCAGACGTTCACCTTTGAATTCAACTGATTGGATGTATGTTTTCAAGTGTTAATTGCCAGGCACGTGGTTTAAATATTCTAACAGACATGGTGGCATCTAAGCAAACCTTCAGATTACTGTATCAGTCTCTATTGTTAACAAGCCGCCTAACAAGCAGTTTCCGTTTATTTTTTTCAATGGCAATTTTGACGTAATGATGCAGAAATACCATTCATATTCAACAGCATCACAGGATCCGTGCAAAATTTATTTCGTTCAGAGGCTATATAGATAGATGATGTCCATCTCTACAATCTCACTGAGTTATGTGACTGAAGCTGTAGTAACTGGAGGCAGTGCTTTATTGAGCTGCGAAATCACCTAATTAACCTATGCGTGCGAAGGTGTTGGTTCATCGCTTACATATGGAATTCTGATTCAAGTAATACAATAACAGGGGAGGAAATGACAATAAGATTTTAACTGGTTAAAGTATGACGGTTTACTGTCTAGCATAGTTCTTCGGTTAACATGCACTAGTATATAATAGGCTTAGGAGAATGAAAACTAATATTATGTGTAATACCTGGACATTGAGGTGGTATGCAGTCCTATAATAATTTGTTTATTGCACACTTCGATTTTCCCTATGCCAGACAGGCTGGGTGGTGTTCCTGAGTGCGTTTTACAACTGTACTTAGCTACACAAGAGCATGTGAAGTGGACTACGCATGTCGAAGTGGCCCAGTGAGACAGCTTGTCTTTCGCGTGGTGAGTAAATAGTTTCGCACAAGAAAATGTCACTCGTAGGCTGGAGGCAGATAATGTATCACTGAGAGATTTCAAAAGCCATTTACGGAGAATTCCTGCCTAAGTTTCATTTTTAAATTCGATGTTAAGCAGCAGGAGCAGCATGTTTTGGAGGTGCAACTTCGACCTGCTCAAAATTTTCCCTTGGTTTTAGATTCTTTTTTATAAATCTGGGTGGGAATTCATTTTCCATCAAGATTCCTCGGAGAATTTGAAGTTCTTCAATAGATTCCTAGGTACATCTCTTACAGATAATTGACGAAAGAGAATAATTTGAGGTTCATCTTCCTGCTTAGAGGAACACAACTCAACAACTTTAGTGTGTCGTCGAAGCTAGCTGGACTAGTCGGAGTATTATCTAAGATGTTAGTGGCTAACAGTCAATATCCAGGCATAACGACAAGAACTGCTCATCTATAATACTGACTCACTTGTCAATACTCAACTATCTAAAACATTTTACTTATATATTATTTATCTTTATAATATTAATACCGATAACTTGTTTTGAATTCAGGGTAATTTAATCATTTATCCGGTGAATGATGACGAGCCCTTACCAACTGAAATGTCACAATTACGGTTATACAAGACGCTGCCAAGCAAAATAAAAGTCAAGTTAACTGTACGCTTATACGTTATAAGGGTAAGTGTGAACAATTTTTCAACATATTCTATAAACCAAAAACTGCTACACACTAGGGAGATAATAAATGTTGTTGTAACTAAAGCTGGCCTACTCTATTTACAAGACTTCATAAGAACTACATACATACTTTGATATCCTATACAGATGTCATGAACACAGAAGCGACCAATAAAGTTACAAACCAAAAGAATGTAGTAAATTGTGAATCAGAATAGAGAAAAACAGAAGGAAGTAGATAGTGCATAGCTTGTGTTGGGATTTTTGTCTATGTTTCGTCGTTTCTGCATGTAATTCTACATTGGAGACTTCTGTGTACCTCGTTAGACTATCATACTTCGAAACAGTGACCTCTGAATAACCGGAGAGGTGCCACACTATCAGAGCTGTCTTCAGATATCTAAGTGTTCTTGTCGACTAGCTATGATGTAGGATTTCCATCTTCTATAAGTAATTGCGGACAATGGTGCTGCACTGATACTGCAGAGTTACTTCTCTAGGCTTGACTGCACAACTGATATTGACCCAATATGGAGAAAGTCCTTTATTTGTTTCCATTTTTCACTTTTCTACTGGCACGTGAGTGTAAATCGAGGTATCACAACATATTTCATACACTTAAATAGTCATTTTGGTCTGAATAATATTAGATGGTTGAAGGTAATCGGCAGGAAGCCTTCGACCTAGGTTTCGTGCTTGTTGACACTCACAAGTAAGTAAGACATGTCTGCGGTCTTGAAGTATGGTGCATAAGTGCATCAGATCAATTTACAATAATCGGTGGAAGTAAACAAGGAGAAAATGCACAGGTGTTACTAAACTCTTGCAACAACTTTTGAGTGCTTATGTTACAACAATACTTAATTTTTTTTTCCTTCACGTTCCCCAGTGGAACATAGGGCTTCAAGCTTGTGGCTTGAAGTTTCTGTAGCAGTGCTTATTTTACAGGATGGGGTTGCTAGCCTCATGCCCAACCTTTCCTCTTCACCAACGTTATTTCTGGCTTAGCGAGGTAAAGGAGTGCGCCGGCCGGCGATCGAAACCCGGACCATGTGCATGGTCGGCGAGCATCATAACC